AGTAAGTAGCGCACGGGTACCCATCTCCCGTACGACCAACATCTTGCACAACCCCATACCGTACCGTACCATATCCCCATCCACTCATCCACCCCCCCATCCATCAGCCCGTCCATGCCACCAAAGATACATTGGTAGTACCATGTTGTAGCAGAAAAATTGAATTGTACCAGTGCTATTGGGACGATCAAAAGATAGATTCAACCATGACTCTTTGTCAAAAAGCACTGTATGATTCAAAACCGGGGTACATGTGGTGTATGGAAAGCTTTCCACTCCCTTTCTGTTTTTCCAAGGCTGTCCGTCGTTTTTCGTGTCACGGATGGGGCTACCTGCATATCATACCATTAGACTACTCTTACTAGAACTGCCCTCTGCTACGAGAGACCAGAAAAGACGGAGGCAGCAGGACCCGACAAGCCAAAATAAAGATTGACGTTAGAATAGAGCTGATCCCGGCGCAGGAGCCGATTTATGCGTTTCTCAGACAAAAATACTCGCATAGAGCTCGTGTGCTTCCAAGGACCTATTGGCTGTCTTTAGGCCATTTTTCTTCCTCCTTTTTTCCTCCTTCCCTACGGTAACGATAACTAGTTCGGTCGAGTTATCAGCCTCTCGAGGGTGTGCTTGTTACACCACTGGCTTTGTCTGGCGTTGCCCTGCGAGAACGCCCGTTGCACTTTACTGACTGATTGAGCGATTCTGCAAATAAGCTACCGGCGGGTGCACTCTGGAGTATTTTTCATTTTTCACCCCATAAGATCGGAATAATTTAGAGCTTACCCAATTATCTATCCAAAGTCCGCCATACCAGTAAATTCCATTATAACCCCAATACCGGTATTCGTCGATGGATCAATCACCGATTTTCACCCGCCCTCATTTACTCGTACATCATCCCCCGCAATATGGTAGAACAAGACCGGGGTTCGTCTTTCTCCCACGATCGAGGGCTCCGATTAAGTAATCGGAGAGAGCTCCAGGAGAACGCAAACCCCGATGATACCACTCAACCCGCGATGCCCTCAGCAAAGAAGTAATACCACAAGGAGGAAAAAATAAATAATACACGGATTTATTTTTTTCTGCTAAAGTGAGCGTAGCAGAACACGGTCTGGGCCCATTTGTACCATTAGCTGCTAGTTCTCAAATTGTGATTTATCCATCCGATTGGAAGGGGAGAGGAAGATATCTTTTTTTTCTTCTTCTTCTTCTTATCCCGTTACTCGTGCTGTGCTCGCACAATATTGCACTGTCGAGGGGGGGGAATAAAAAAATAAGAAAGCGAAGACAACCTAGACTGAGAAACTGACAGGACGGGCCTCCCGACACATGTATCTGGACATACTCGAGTACAGCAGCAGCAGCAGCAGCAATCACGGAGCACATACCCCAGTCCCCCGGCTCTTTGGGGGGCTTTTTTTTTTTCCTTCTTTCTTTCTTGGCCTTTTTCCTTTCTTTTCCTTTGCTGTAACTACCGGTACCGTACAAGTACAATAATCTAGAGCTCTAGATCCTCGCACAACGAAAGATCATGACACAGATAGATGCTGTTGTCCTCAATCCTTCCCTTTTCATTCCTCGATGAGGGAGGCGAGGTGATGGTGGTGGTGGTGGTGGATTTCGGCAGCCCCGGATCTTCATAGGTTAAGTAATGTTGGACCCTTACCTTACCCTAGGGTTCACACGTTGTGCAACACGAGATTTTCAAGAAACCCCCCCCCCAGAACCTCTCGAAACACCACACCTTTTCATTTCATTTTATTTTATTTTATTTTCCCTTCTCGTTCTCTTTTGCAGGGAGGCGATTTCCAAGAAACAATACCGGTACCGGTACTCGAGTAGAATTTCTAACCTCAAGTTAGCACCTGTGGCAGTCTAGTGCCGTACGACTGACAAACAACCGAGCTATGATAGGAACGTCGGCAAGGGATTATCAACCCCCATACCGGCAGCCGGTAGCGGTGCAATTGTCCAATTCACACTCATAAGGACAATCACTTGATAGTATTTAGTCATGATAGTCTGAAATCGCAGAAAACTCAAAAAAAATGCGAAGAAATACGAAAAAGTACAAAAAAGAAAGCAACGAAAGCGGCAAGAAAAAGAAAAAGAAAGATCAGGAACGGGACCAACAATCGGCTGCGGTATTTTGAAGGAACCGTCCCGAACTCGTATAAGTAAAAATTACGATAAGCACCGCACATCAGCTCAGGCAACCCACGCAGCTAGAAAAAAAGAGGGAGAGAGGGAGGGAGAGATAAAGGTAAAAGATAAATATATTTTCTGGCGATTCCGATCTTCCTATACATAACCCGTTTTTTTTTTTAATAAAAGCATTATTTTTTTCCCTCCCCTATTCCAGTATCGCGGCCGCAGCACCAACACCAGAAGCAGACGAATTGCAAATAAGCTACGGTAGCCGGGAAAGTTAAGCAAGGGCAGAAGAAAAGGGAAAGGACATCTCCAGGGTCCTCACGATGTGTCACTCGAGAACCGGCATGCGTGGGGGTTGGATGTCACAGGTCCCGCGAATGTTACTCTATGACAGTTTACGGTACTATTGGACTGTCTAGCTCGAGTACAGTTACAGTACAGTGTCACCAACAACTGGAAAATATCTATTTCCCCATGGGGAAATCCTTGGTGCCCGAATATGGTACCGTACTGTACCGTACCCATACATCGGAGCCCCCTCTCTCCCTGACGCCCCATCGCTGCCGCGCCCCATTGCCGTCCTTGACGGTCAGGAAGATGATGGGCCGATTGAGAATTTATGGAAACTTAAGCGATCATGAAGATCATTTTGTGCTATGCTTTCCTTTTCCACCCTGGGCCTGGCGGAACGGGGCTCCCGGATCCTGCGCGCATGCGAGTGTGATACATATCATACCTTCTGAGTACAGTACCGGTATTGCGGATCTTGAACCCCCACACCTGGCACTTTTGAAGGAAAAAGTACAGATGCGGAGGAAGAAACTCGGGAGCAGGAGAAAGGGAGAGGTACTGTGGATAAACTCATCACTACAGCGAGATTGGCGTCGGGGAAAGGATTGGGAAATCCGAAAATGACTGAACGAGCGAACAGTATCAGTTCCTGCGCCCCACTGCGCTGTACCCACTGCAGGCAGAGGAAGTTTTTCCCCATATATACGGTCCTCCCACTTTTGCCCCCATCGGGCCGATGTTTCGTCCGGTCCGTTTCAGCCGTTTCAGACCTAGCCGGTCCAGTACGGAAGTTTAACCTCCGATCGCCTTGAACTGTACGTACAGCACCGTACACGCACTGTACAGACAACACCCTCGGGCATCAACTTCATCCTAAACAAACACGCGGTGCAGTACGTGCCTAGTGGAGGATTACAAATCGATATATACGAATGAGTGCAAAAGAAAAATACTATGTCTTAAGAACGAGTTTGAGTACGTACCGCTACCACTGGCTACTGCTACTATTGCAATCTCGAGGTGCCAACTCGAGAGGAAATGGTTTAAAAAAAATAAACGCGGGTACCGCGAGACAATAGTTGTGCTGGACGAGAAACGTACCTATAGCACACACAAGGCCACGCACTGCGGGACGAATTCCAATTCGAATCGATCGAAGAGCTCGAAACTTGGCTTACTTGAGCGACGACGGCGGTCACCTTCAGTCCAGTTCATCTCCCTTTAGGACCCCAGCCTTTCTCCCTCCCCCCCTTCTCTCTCCCGTGCCAATCGGGAGTATGATATATCCACCAAGCACGCTACATTCCTCGTCCCCGAAAGAAAAAAAACTCAACCCTTCACAACTTCACAGCCCCTCACTCGGCCTCCGATCCCGCCAGCGCCCAAATCGGCGAGCACACAATCGACCGGCCGGGCGTTATCTGCCTGCTTGGCTGCCTTTCCGCCCGTCCGCTCCCATCCTCGTCCAATTCCTCCAATCACCGATACAGTTCGGGTCAGGTCAGATACCAATGCGCATTGTAAATCAGACCCTACCTTACCTCGCCTCACCCCCTAACTACCTGCCCACCTCTCACCCGCAAGCGAGAGGGTCACGAGTGCAGTGTTGTGATATGGTACCCGTGTCCCGTACTGCGGTGTACGTGCATTGGACTGCTACCGCTACGGAACCGCGTGCGTACCTCTCGCTTGTACAGTACGGGCCACGGGAGGTCCTGTGATTCGAGGGTTGTATGAACGGGTGGACGAACAGCTGGTGGTGATTCACTCGTGGGTAGCTGCAGCAGGATTTCAGTTTTGAGTTAGTCTTGATATATATATCTCCTCCCTTTCCCAGCTTAAAGCGATCCATGGAGCTGGGTTTTTCCCCGTGTCTAGACCCCTATGGATGTTTATATTCGGGCCGGATGCCTTCGGATGAGGTCTGCATAATGCTTGGGAAAAGTGCACGAGTGACTTATTGGTCAAGGACCCAGGTCTAGAATCGAGTGATTAACGATGATTGGCAGTGAGAAGCTTGGTTGAATATAAAAAAGAAAAAGGTAAAAAAAAAAGCAAAGGTCCTTAGGTTTAGGGCTCAATTCTCGCAACAGATAACTCTATGGGTCATTGCTTCAGTCCCGTTCCCGTCGGAATATCTCACTAAGGCCATTATTATTACCGGTACTCCCTTTTCTTCCTCCTCCTCCTGAGGGCTGAATAGTGGACAGAATAACGCCAATCCACTCCCAAAGACCGGTATTTCATTTTTTTTTCTTCTCCCTCCATCTCCTCTTCCCTTCGTACAGGAAAAAAAATTCTTCTCAAGATGGCGCGCCCGTGATCATCGATGCTGCTGCTGCGCGCATCAAGTCCTAGTCCAGTTCAATTACAAACCCATCCAAAAGCGAATGAACGGACGAAGCTTTCCTGTTCCCCGCTACCCCCCTCCCCCCAAACCAAACCAAGGATTCTCCCTCCTCTTCTCCTGCTTCTCCCCCCCTCCTCCTCCTCCTGATCCCCTCCGCTATTAACTTATAGAAGCGGTTTGTATTAACTTGGCATACCGGTCCGTCTACCGCAGCACACGACGTCCCTGTCAAGTTACCAAGAAACGGTACTGTAAACCCCCACGTGCCATCAAAACGGTATGATATAATACAGTAGACTAGTCTCCGGCCTCCGGGTGCTAGGACGGAAAAAAAAGATAAAAATAAAAAAAAGATGCCACCCCTCCTCCCTCAGCCATGATGCGAGCACTTTGGGGAAACCTCATCAGGTCATTCCACCCGTCCATCCATCCATCCATCCATCCATCCGTCCGTCGAGGATCTCAGGAACACATTCTTCTCCTTTTTTCCGGTCCAGAGTACCGTAACCTCACGGGAAAGGGACCATCATACGGTACCCAAGATAGCGGCCGTAACGAACGCTGACAAACGCAAACTGAATCGCTTTTTCATTTTCATTTTTCCCCCTTCTCCGCTGATCTCTCCCAGGCGGAGGGAGGGTAACTATCGCAATCCATCACACGATTATTATTATCCTCCTTTTTTCCTTTTTTCCTTTTTTCCCTTCTCTCCCCTTCGCACTTCCGTACGCACGATACCTGCCCTTTCTTCCCTTTTTATTCCTTTAGCACGGTACGGCAGGTATGTGCGGTTTAGTGTTGCTTCCCAAAGCACAGATATATTTACAGCATCATACACCCGTGGTAACATATCACAAAAAAAAAAACGCCATCCTAAAGGTGAAGGGGTCCACTTTATGGCGTACCGTACCGGTATCCTATCCTATCCTATCCTATCCCATCCCATCCTATCCTAATTATCATACCAACCTACCTGCCCGCCCGCTTGTCCAGAAAGCCTATGATAGCGCGCAGCATACGAGTAGGGCACCACCACCACCACCACCACCACCACCTACCTACCTACGATACCCAAGTCATCATACACCTGTGATACCTACCCAGTGCAAACACAAACAGTGGCGACAACGAAACCCTCATGAACCTCCTTCCTTTCCTTCACTCTTCCCCATCTTCTCCGGGTCGATATCATTTCTCACAAAGCCCAGCTTACTATACCGCACGGCTATCCACACAACAGCACCCTACGAGTACGGGTACCGTGCCCCGCGTACGTACGTACTGTACAGTACAGTACAGTATCGTACAGTTCCAGACGGACACCACCAACCACCACAAAAAACCACACTTCAATCAGCGTTCACGAAAAGAAAAGAAGAGGGGGAAAAAAAGGAAAAAAGGGAAAAATAGGATAAAAGAAATATAAAAAAATAAAAAAATAAACTAAAACTTGCTCCTCCGGAAAACCCTTTCTCCGAAACGGACCCCAGCGAGCGAACCAGACTAGACTAGTTCTAACCAGCGAGCACGCAAGCAGCGCACGCGCGCGTTTGGCACAAGATTAGCTCGGTTCGGTAAACCTCTCCGGCTCACCGCAAATTTTTTTTTTTTTGCCTTTCTCTACCGGTATATCACTTGTACAGTATCATGAACCTTTTCATAAACACACCCATGTTTCACACCGGTAAATAGATATATAATAATTATATAATAATATCAAGAAAATAAATATATAAAAATCCCCATCAAAGTTAGCTTCATCATCACCCCCTCCCTCCCTCCTTCGTGCGCTGTACAATCCATCCATCCATCCATACATACATACATAAAAAGTGTGAGGAGGGCAAGGCCATGATAGATATATCAACGGTACGATATAAAAATAAAATAAAAAGTGCGGTTTCCAAAACCTCGGGTTAGAGTAATTATTATATATGTGTGTATGCGTGTATGTGGGAATGTATGTATCGTGACGTACATTTTTCCCTCCTTCCCGTCGACAAGTGACGACGATGATGATGGCAAGCGTTGTTCTTGAGGAGGGGAGGAAGGGAGGGAGGGAGAGACTTTTTTTTTTTTCTTTCTTTCTTCATCTTTGTGAGTGTACTGTGCGAGTACTAACTAGTGATGTGCGTGGCAGGTCGTGATACCAGTGCGGACCTGAAGTGAAGTGAAGGAAATTGAATGTGAAAAAGGTGTTTTGTTCGTTCTTTCGTTCGTTCGTGGGTTGGCTTGAAGTTCGTTCTATCATACCTACAGTTCAATACCACCTTACGAGAGCTATTCACCGGGGAGATAGATAGATAGAGGAATTTAGGTGAGGGGGGGAAGGGAAGGCAAGGGAAGATATCCGACCATTTTTCCCGTTCATAATATCATGGTTATAATAATACCGTAGGTATTATTGTTATTATACTCGTCTCGACTCGAGAGGTGGATGTAATCTAAAGTATCATACCGGTACTGTACTCCGCACTCGCACTCGCACTCGTAAACCTGGGCTAGGCGGGCAGAGATAAATTGGGAATTACAATGATTATGATGGCGAAAGTGAATACGTACTGTACAGGACATTCATATCTACCATGCATTACCTATGATAGCTAAAAGTTGTGGATACAAGTATGGTAGTGGGCGGTGTAGGGGGGGGGGGATAGGAGGAGGATATCTCGATAACAATTTTAATCATCTTCAATCCATCGGTAATTAGACCTTCTTTCTTTCTTTCCCCCTTCCTTCTTTCATTTCTCTTTCTTTCTTTCCTTTCTCTTTCCTTCTTTCCATGGCTGTGAGAAGAGGAGGAAAATATTTGGTACGACTGACAGCGCAGCGGGAAAAAAAAAACATAACTAGATGTTAGCTGGCTAGCCAAGTTAGTGAGTAAGCGCTTGCAGCTCATCTGATTCTCATCCTCCAATGACGGGTTTTGGCAGATGGGCTGTGTAATTCGGTTCCTCGACTCCATACGTGTATGATACTACCCGTACTGTACAGTACCACACTGCGGATGGCTGGAAGGAGGTAGAATTGTTTCGAGCAGCCATCATAGGTACGATAGGTAAACAACACACTATCTCCCTCTTCCATCTGCTTTGGCCTTGTCTGGCTTATTTATTTCAGGGGCGGGGTAACCTCGCGATACCTTGCGACGCTCGGTGTGGGCAAATTGATAGAGGGACTGTAATACTCCTGCTCACGGGGTGACTGCTAGGGGCGCCTTTCTCTCTTCTCCATTGCATTCTTACCTAATCCAATCCTAAGGTCATAGACCAAAATATATTCGCAGTCACCTCCTCACAATGCCCCAGAAAAACCCTCCTGAAAAAGTTCTCCGGCTATCCCGCCTTGCATGATGACGAATTGTGGCTTACAGTCAGTGGAAGTGAGCAGGCGATCAGCAAAGTTTTCCCTTATGATACCATCATACTTACCAGTGGATAATTTTCCTCCTGTTCCTCCTAGTTTATGATACTGTAGCCTCGTGAAGGACCGAGCCCCTCTGCCGTATTCATGTCACAGCATTGAATTCGCCTTTTCCTTTTTGTCTGTTTTTTGATGATGATCGTGACGCACCCACCAAAAGGGACCCAACTTCAACCTAGCGACATGAGTAATTCATCCCTCTCATTGCTTTTCCCCCTAAGCGAAACTCATGTACCGAGCAGAGGAGGAGGAGGATCCACGAGAAAGAGAGAGAGAACCTGGAGAGGAGAAAAAGCAAGGGAGGGGAAAAAAAGAAAGCAGGCAGACAACAAGTTTATTCAAGAGCCGAATCACGTCAATCAATCAGTTCCAAACGTCTCGATGCAAACCCCTTATCGAGTGCTTTTTCTTCGTCTTTTCTTTTTCACGTCGTCTGTCTCCAATTCCAAGCCTTTCCCTTCTCAACTCCTTCCTCCTCTCTCCTCCCTCCCCCAGGGCAACTCCATCCCTCTGACTCTGATGGGCTTCTAGAAAGAGAGAAGGGGAACCAAGGCTTTTCGAAATAGTCATCCCCTCAGCGCATATTCTTATTCACTCGCTGTGCCTTTCAATTTCCCTCGAGGCGAAACCACGGCCAACAGACGGATGGATAGAAAGGCGGGCACCAGAAGATATCTCTTTCTCTACCCAAATTAGGGTTTCCCACCTTCAATACCTTTACCGGAGCTCCCCATTATCCCGCTTTCCCGATGTAGCAGAGTGCAGATTGCAGAAAAGGGCCATTCTATGATAAATTAGTCATGAGAAGGGTGAGAGAGAAAGAATTGGGAGAAGGATCGATCGAGAGGAGAAAAAAAGGAGAAAAAAAGGGAAATGGGAACAGTGAAGGGAGGTACCGGTATGACAGAACTATCATTATGAGGCTCAAAAATAAGAAACGGCAATAACAAAATCCTGATCGATCCCGATTTTTTTTTTTCCCCCGCCGACAAGATAGTCAAACCCCAATTTTCATGATGGAGGGGCAATGAGGGGCAACGGAGGGGCTCATAGTGGGGTCCAGGGTCCGATAGCCAACGGGGCCGAGCCCTACCGATTATCGATAAGCCAAGACAGGTATCATATATAGCAGGCCGGCAAGGAAAGCGAGCGGGTAGGCAACAAGGCATGCGGCAGTCTACCGTACGAAACATGGATGCTCTGGTATTGCATCCCCGCCAAGAAATTTCTACCGGCTGGCCCATATTTTGCCTGAGCAAAATATAAAGCCCCAGTTTGCACATACTCGAGTAATCGCGCCGGACCCGATAGCGCGAAAGAAAGGGAAGAGAAGAAAAAAGAAAAAAAGGGGGGGGTGAGAGATTGCCACGGTACCGTAGGGTGTTGAGTATGAGTTCATAGCACTCTAGCCGGTACCCTACCGGTATCATATCAAATATACGAGTGCAACAGCAATTGCACGTTTCCAATTCTTCAAACTTGAAGGGGCAAAACAAAATCGAGGGGAGGGATGGCAGAGCAAAGGCAAAGGAAATGGAAACAGCACTTTGGCTAACTGGGTGGTTAAAGGTGAACAAAAAAAAAAAAGAAGCACGACACGCACATTTGGAACGAACGAACGAACGACATTCCTAATCCCAGTCCGCACGCATGCACGCAGCGCACGAACCGACGAACGGCCGTGCAGCACAGCACCGGCATGCCCTTCTCTTTTAAGAGGAATGAAAGAGAGGGAGAGAGAAAAAAATAAAGCCATATTACGCTCCTCCGGCCTCGCCTGATATCTACGTCATGGATAGATTCTCTCTCTCTCTCTTCTGACATATCACATTTCTGAAACTTTGTTCCTCCGGAACCGTGCAGTAGTAGCAATAGCAGGCCCAGTTCCCCCCCGTCTCCTACGTACCCACCGTACCCTTTCTTTCCTCCCTCCGTATGCTTGGGACGGCGACGGCGACGGCAACAGCGATGGCGGCACTCATACGAGTACAGTGCTCCCCCCCTTCCCCTTTGTCCTCGCGCAACAAGATACCCCCAGCAACGCTACCGTACCTAGCACCGAAGGGAATACCGGCACATATGCTACGATACAACAAGCCAATTATGCTACGGTATGTGCAAGACGCAAGTAGCGGCCGTGGTAAAACAGGAAAACCTACCCTACACACTAACATGCAGGGCGGCTCCCGCGGCCGTACTCGAGTACTGTACTCGTAGAGTAGAGTACTGCACATCCCTCACCTCACCACACCTCACACTCGACCAGCCAAGGAAAAGGCAAAAAGGGCAAAGGCAAAGGCAATGCAGCTCCCCTTGTCCTCCGGTAAAATGCAGTGCAGGCGAATGGGAAGGGGTTGTGCATGGGGATGGATGGATGGATGGGGTTAAAATGTGATATAAAACAATGTAATGTACCGTAATGAAAATGGCATGGTGGTGTAGATTGGACGAAAGAAGGGAAGAAGGAGAGAGAGAAAGAAAGAAAGAAAGAAAGAAAGAAAGAAAGAGAGAAAGTAAGAAGAAAAAAGAAAAGGTGAGGTTTTGTGCAGTAGGGTATGGTTGCTATGGCATGCGCAATGTTTGTGTTTCTCCGTTAAGTGTGTACTTGTACCGTATTTTGTGTGAATGTGTGCCGGTGGTTGGGAGGAAGCAGTGGGGAAAGTTGGGAGTGGCAAGGACTCGCGTGATTGCTGTGGCGGTGGTCGGTGGTGGTGGGCGCGCAAGTTAATCCGTTTCTGCGTGACATAGGCCGGTGCAGTGCGTGTGCTCATACAGCGCAGCATAGCGCTGTATATACCGTGGACTCGATCCACCATACCGTACATTCACTACAAATGAGCAAAGAGAAAGACAGAGAGAGAGAGAGAGAGAGAGAGCAAGTATCATACCGACATATACACCCTTACAATCTCATAATGGACTCATCCTTTCGATATATACAAGCAAGCCTAGTCGGGTTCAATCAATCAATCAATCAATCAATCAATCAATCAATCTACGGTAAGGCCAAAGGAAGGAAGGAAAAGTCGAACTGTCAACGATCCGACTCTCCCGATCAGGCGTTTGTGCCTTGCGCGAATAAGGTATGGTACGGCACTGGTAGAGTATCTATATCATACCATAAGCAACGTCGATCCGTACACCAAGATGTTGTGATGTTATATTATTATTATTATCGTATACTAACACAGTACAGTACGGTACGTGAAACCGCGCAGGCAGTTCCGGGGAATGGAGTACAGTGGAATTGAACGGAATAAGGAGGAAAATAAACCCTTGGATAAACTTTGCACATAACGGTGCGGATTCGAACCCCTGGACCGTGCTATCATGATGCAGGACCTTTTTTTCTCTTCTTCTTTTCTCTCCTTGACGGTTATGGGGAAAAGAAAGGACTATGGTATGATATACGGTCGTCCACTATAAAGTATCATATCATACTCGAACCTCTCGATATGAGTACGAGCACGATGAGTATGTATGAGCACGAGTACTTTCAAGGTCCGTAGGGTTAGGGTATGCACCATTCCACCAAATTGATACGATAGATACGATATGATACGATACGATACTCGTAGCATACCATCATACAAACACCATAGGCACCGGCGCGAAACCCGTTTCCTATAGTGCGTATTTGTATCGCTCACCGGTCCGCCCTTCCGTCGCACCCATCCCTCCCTCCCTCCTCCATTCTAGGAAGAAGGAGAGAAAAACTGGACGAAATACCGCGCTGGGTTGTTGTGCTGGCCACCGTATCATATAATACCAGCACAATGATCGATAAGGTAATCATGATTAGACTATCATGATATGAACTCGATACCGGAACGGAGCTATGAGATACTTTAACGCCCGACACGCCCATGAGTGAGTAAGTATCATAAGTGGATGAGTGAGTACCAACCGGTAGCGGGAAAAATACCCGGATTACTGATTCTTCCGGATTATCGTGTGGGAAATATATATATTCGTGAATTTGTTGCGCGACGGTATGGTAAATATATCGATAGGTAAGTTATCAGATAGTTAATGGGCAGTGTAAAAAAAAGTAAAAAAAAAAGGGGGGGGGGAGGGAAAAAAATGGCCACGATCATTGAATATTATATACCTGTAATAAAGATGGGCAGATCTAACTTACCCACGACACTTCTATCCATCCATCAATCAATCAGTCAGTCAATCATACCCACCCGGCCGGCCGGCCACAGTACAGTACAAGTATGTGCCATACCATACCATGCCCATTCATGGACAAGGCGGGACAGGACTGGACATAAGTGCCATGTGGTATGGTACGACACCGGGATGGAATGGAACGGGACAAACGATGGGGAATTGCCGCGTGAATCTTACCGTAGGGAAGGATCGTAGGAAGAAAGAAAGAAAGAAAGAAAGGAGTTAGACACCGGTGTGTGCAGATGCTATATTATCACGATATGTATCCCCATCCCTCGGAAGTAAGTAACTTTGCACACTATCATTTCCAACCTTTTTTATATACGATACCCTTTTTCCTTCCCAACCCTCACTCCCCCCATTCTTGGTCGAACTGCCGATACAGTATAGTACAGTTACCGTGCTCGAGGGAAGGGAGAGGAAAAAGAAAAGAGAAGAGAACTTTACCCTTTGGTCAATGATTTCTGGACCGTTCATTTCCTCCTCGGCTGGCTGATCAGTAGTCGGCTTATCAGATCGTAAGGAAGAAAAAAGAAAAAAAAAGTCTATGCAAAGGTTAAGATCAAGACTTGACCCGGAGATCAAAAGGTTTCGGATATCTACTCCATCATCACAAACAAATAAATGATCATCATAGATAACCTGCACGGTGCAGTGCAGTACCTACCTACCTACCTACCTCTTTCCCAAGGTTTGGTATGTGTGCGTATGTATGCGTGTATGCATGTATGTATGTATGATATGTATGCATGTATACCCATCCATCTAACATAACCCGTACTCGTACATACGAGTACACACATACTCGTACAGTGCTCGTACACGGATTTTAGCCATCCGCGCCGGGTGGATCTCTGCGGATAAATCTACTCGTGCGCAAGTTAAACTAGTTCACACGGACTAATGTAGCCGTAGGGGACGAGGGCTCCCACCAAAACGAAACGAAACAAATGAAGCCCCAACGTCATGAGCCATGCAGAAGTGGATAGCGTCGGATAAGCCTTGCCAACGGGTCCTCCCTTCCCATCCCCTTCGTCTTCACGTTGAGAGACCTTCGGGAGCCATCGTAACCAGGCACACATGCTAACACCGCGGTTGCAAGAGTGCCCGAGTACGGTACAGTAGACCGACCACCATCCCTCGTATCGACTATCCCTATCGGTGAATTTCCACGCTCAGCCGACGACACACGATACCCACGGGCAATCATAGACTACCGTACGGCTCAGGTTTATCGTACTGGACGGAACCCAACCGCATTTCACTTCACTTCACCCTCTCTACCTTAGCTTGCCCTACCTTACCTTTGCTACTATCGCGTCTGCCGCAGCGCATATCCAACACAGCCAGAGGGAAAAAAGGAAAAAAGAAGAAAAAGATCGTCCCCAATGAGACGGGTTGCAGGCAGACAGACTGGCAAGAACAGAAACGGGAGAAGGAATAGGCCTGCCGGTCCCTCACAATCAGCCACACGTGCACACGTGCAAAAAATAATAATAAAAATCCGGGCAAGAAAGCCAAGAAGAACCCACCACCACCCCGGAAAGGTAGAAAAGGACATGAATGGGAGGGAGGGGAAGGACTCATCGTATCCATCATACCCACTTGTGCGAACCGCACCGAACCGCTACGCTACAGAAAACGGCCACAATACGGTACTGCAGCACAGTACTCGTACTTGTACCGGATACCGTAACGTCGATTATCGTTTCGTGTGGTTGTGCCGAAAAAGAAAAAGGGAAGGGAAAAAAAAGGAATTACCCTTTTATCGAGCTAGCGATCAAATGCGCCATAGTTACTCGAGTACCGTATCCACCCCCGAGCGTATCCCCCGACGTAAACCCCGGTACTGTACCACCGGCAGCGCTTGTATCAATAGGTTTAGAGAATCCAATCGAAATGAAGCAAAATACCAGTAATTATGCTCAAATCCCCCCCCGGGGCTCCAGCATTGCCCTGCCCTGCCCAGGTATAATATTAATATCGTACCGTGCGAGCACTCGTACTCCTGGCAGGCAAGAAGTACCGGTACCCGAAAACAAAGTACGAGTACTTGTATGGCAAAAAAAAAAAAAAAAAAAAATCCATGTCCATTCGAGGCCACTATACGGATTTACGGTCCCTGCTTCCGGATACCTTTTGCCTGCAGGGAGCACTCGTACTGTACCGCACATGTACGACACAGCTCTTGCCAAGGCCAATCCGGCCAGTTTCAGCCGGTGGGTTGGTCGGTCTGTCGGTCGAAATAGTGGCTGGCTCTGCTGTTCTGTCCCTTATTTCCTTTTTCCCACCTGTGATAGTGATACGGTGCGGGAATGGGTGGGAGAAGCAGAGGCAGAGGAAGGAGAAGGAGGAGGAGGAGGAAAAAGTCATGTGTCCAATTAACATACCGTAGCAGGCAGGCCATGCCACGCCACGCCACGCCATGGGAAAGTGCAATTGGGCGTTTCAGTGCGGTAAGCAGACGATAGTCGCACCCCACTTCCCGGGCATGGGAAAATCCAGAGAACCCGTACTGGGCAGCAGGTCGAACTTTGGTGTCGAGAAATTTGGGGCTCGCAGACGTTCAGACGGGGCAGCGAGGTACCGGTATCCGCATCATCCGGATCCGGGATAGCGGGCGTGACAGAATGACGATGGGGGTGGATGGAGCAATGAATGGGGAGATGGATGGATGGGTCAACAGATCAATCAATCAATCAATCCATCAATGGGAAGGGGCGGACGGACGCTTAAGCCTGAGGTTGAACCATGGCATGGTCTCATTTAACAGTACCGATATGATACTTGTATTTCATTTTGTCTCATTTTTGGGGGAAGGTGGGCCAAGGGTTGGTCATTGTCTACTTTACTCACCGGTACGTACTACGACACGATACATATACTTGAGCATGTGCATGGTCCCGGGTTGGACTGTGAAATTATACGATGTTGGAGGGGCTGGGCTACCGGCACTAGCAGGCCAGGGGGAAGGAGTTCATCCTGAATGTGAGTAGCTGGAAGGCTGGACTCGCCGGCTGGCGGCTCAGAGTCGGTTTATCTGAGCCTCCGTTTGCGGACAAGTTTCGCTTTTCACGATGGTCTGGGTCGCTGAGCTCTCCAGCCTACCGTATGATACTACAGTACTCGAGTACCCTCGACTCTCCGAGACATAGGAGGGTAGGAAGAAGCCGCACCACAACCACACAACCTACCGGTATGATACCGGGAGTCCACTAACTTCCCTACCGCGCCCTCTCCCCACCACCACCTCTTGCCCAAGAATGAGAGAAAATGTCGACGGGTTGCTCGCTTCGCGAAAAAGGGCCACCACCATCCCATGCGATAAAAATACCAAGCTACAATTGTTGCACTGGACCACCACCACAAAGCGGACCATCACGGTCCACAACGTGAGTGTGAATTGCAGAACACTTTCTGTGCTTCCCAAACTTTTTTTCTTTTTCTCTCTTCCTTCACCTGCGGCCGAAGCGAAGCCCAAAGCACCATCCACCAGACGGCCACGGTCGTTTCGGGCGCATGGCGTTGCTGACGCACTTTCGATCTTCCGGTCCAATTACTGTCGCTTCGGTTCGACAGGGAACTCGTTTGGGATGGATTCGAGAGAAAATCTGGGGTCATGCGGGCAATCGAAGTGTGGTGGGGGGGGAGCTCTCTCTCCATCCCTGCAACAGTAATTATTATTGATTTTTGATCTTTCTTACTCTCCTGAGACTTCCACGGTACCGCACTCGATGCTCGCTTGTCCGCTTTGTCTGCCTGCCGGCTCATGGAGACGAGAGACGCGACGGGCAATACCATCTTTTAGACCAGCTTGTAGGAGCGGGAGGGCTCATTTGTCCGGGCCGATACCGGTAGTTGCTGTAGTTTTCGTAGAGCTAATGTACAAGTACTGTACGGCGATGACAGCTAGGAGACAGGTACCGGTAGTCCTGGGAAAAATTTCACCTGCGGAATTGGGATTGATGAGATGAACTCGTTCCTTTTTTTGATGTCTCAGTTTGGTAGACATTATTGATAAGATGGTTGGGATTATCATGTCCGAGCACGACGGCCTACTGGTACGGTAGATTCCCTGCTGACGCTGCTGCCGCCTAGCTACAGTACCGTACTGCACCCTCGACCTCTCAAGAGGGGTGAAAGGTAGGTTGAAGGTTTGATAGTGCCCGTAGGGAGTCGAGGGATTGGATGGAAGCGGTTTTACCTCATAATACCAATACAAGTACCCTATTTGCGGCAACAAGCGAGAGAATCCAGTGTTAACAGGGCGGAAACAGAAGGGCGCCAAACGGGAGCGGCCTGCTACGCTCCCTTGAAAAACGCACTGCGCATAACAGATCGACGGAAAGGAGTGTTGGTGAGCAATAGTCGAACAGTTGCAAAGTTCGATGCTTGGTGCTAGGTAAAATCAAAATAAAGCCAGCTCCACCGCACTAGCAGGTACGGTACTGCACTCCCACGGTAAGATAAAGGGCGATCAGGACTCAGGACTCAAGACAAACGGTACGGATGGGGAGAGTGAGTCGAATTCTTCAAGGGTCCTTTTCGGCAGGAAAGCTCGGACGGACGAACCAACTGCAGCTTACTCGGTAAACGACCGAAAAGAAAAACCCTCCACACAACTTTTCTACTCTTGAAAGTCTCTGGCTAGGTTCCGACGATATCCTAGCTGGATTACTATTATCTCTGTACTTGTATATATTGCTTTTATATATATAGCCTTTAGGCTCGCATTCTTTGTTTTTCCGCTCCCTCTCCGATTTTCGTTCATGCTGGAGGCTTGATTTTCAAGAAGGCTGGACAACCCAGCCCGGGTGCCATGTATTTCGGTGTAAAAAGGTTCAGGTTAGAGTTCTGTCAGGTGGGTAAGGTGGTACAAGAATGGTATGGCGCTGTTTCCGTTTGGTGGGTATTAATTGCTCTAAGGGATCGAGTGGATCGGGGACCTCTCGCTTTCATCCACTGGAAGAAGAGAGAGAGCAGTAAATTTACCGCACAATACGGTACCGGCAACCGACCGCGAGACATACGCGCATCAAATGAGACGCGAAGGCGGTAGCATCTCAGGAAGAAGAAAGGTGATATATCATTAGACATTGAGACCCGCGCTCTGGAGAGAACGAGGTAGAGAATAAACAGGAGGCAAGCTAGCAAAGCAAAGAGAGCTGCTTCGATTGATACTGGTACTCGAGTACGTAGATGGGTGGGTTGGGTGGGGGGGGGGGGGGCGGAGGAGGGAGGAGGGAGAATCTGGAAAAAGAATTATGATATCCTCAATCACACCATACTAGATCTGTCGTGCTGTGCATCCAAGACGTTCGTGAGTGCACTCGAGCACTAGACCGCACTGCTTGGCAGGGTGTCGGTGGTCCTAGTCTGCCAATGAGCAGGCACCGGCATCGCGTGCACATTACCCTTGCGGTTTGGGTTGGAGCCTTTCCCTTCTCGTACACGCCTTGTGGCTACCGGTAGTTTCGATTAGTGGACCAAAAGAATGAGCCTTAGATGTACCTCTACACATGTAGAGTAATTTGAGGAAGGATATGCCATACCGGTAGGGCAGGCAGTGTACGCCAGAGCTTCTTCGAATCCCTCGGGCCCAGCTACGTCTATCTCACTGTCCATCCTGATTCTCCCCGCACACCCTCGCTCTGACCCTCCCTCGTACCCGACCTCGATGCAAAGTTAACATGCCTTTATGTTTATTGCATCGCCAGAGCCTACGGTACTTTATCTCGAGACGGCTATCTCGCGGATAATATTGCTGCTCCGGCCATCGATTAATCGCTGTACAATATCCTACAACCACCCGTGGGACAAACGACCGCGTGAGGGCTGGGAGCTCGTCCGTATGGTGCTATGTGTAATATTATGTATACCCATATTATGTATGTACGATACGGCACGGTACGATACGATGCAATACGTATGTATGTGCGTATGAATGGACAAAGCATATGGCTTGTGTGCGAAGATACCCTCTATTTTTATTTATCTTTCAATTTTGGCCCGAGGGACCAGTCCGGGTGAGGTTCGTGGTGGTGATTATGCTGGATGATGGTTATCTTTCACAGCCCCCACCATGTACTGTACAGTACTCGAGTACGGTACCTCTCTCCTTACCTCGAGAGCTTTCCGACCGCCCCTACTCGTACAATGCACTACCGGTAATTCGTATCTGTAGGCGAACCAACCCGCGACGGTGAACTTTGCAACCGGAACTAGGGTCACGACACGATTACTGGGGCAAGTGCTGTATGTACGAGTACTCTACGGGTACGGTACACAGGCATTACCATAGGCACAATTCACGGGTGAGCGAGTGAGCAAGAGTGCGAGAAGGCCCAGAGAGAGCAATTTCGTGGATATCATAGATTGAGAGCCTTTGATCCTACATCAGCGACCTTATCCACAGCCGTCCGTTCGGGGGTTGGGAGCATGCTAGAATCATTGAGCTTTATGTACTCGTACCAGCCTTTTCTAGTGACTTCCTACACTAGCCTCTCGTACTTCCGTTCCTAGCATACATCACACCTACCGATAGAAAAAGAGACCAGCACTATGTATTATACAAGCCCAGCCTCGGCCAATGTAATCGCTGAACACCGACATCACACCTGCCTCGTCCTATCACATATCTCCCATCCGGATCCCTGCCCATTTCACAAACGAATTGGAAAGCGGAAAAGGGGACCGAAATGGAAATATATAAAGGAAAAAAGATGGAATAAAATAATAATTCTTTTCGCCAGCTTTTTTGCTTTTCCGTCCCATCCTTTTTTATTTTTTATCTTTATTTCTTCATTTTTTTCCCCCCAGACACCCAGACTGAATTGACCGTCAGAGACCGACACACCCTGACTGCAAATCTGCGACCCACAGTTGCTGCATGCGAGCCAATTGAGCGTTTGACGAACCACAGGGTGTGTACAGTACCGATAGCAGTGCTCAGTACCTAGTACAGTACTGAGCTGAGCTGCGGACGGTGCCGCCGCGACATAGGCCGAGAAGCACCCTGCTCGTGTCCCCGAGTTAAAGCGAGACCAGGCCACAGGCATTCGAGACAAGGTGCAAGAAATACTTTATTTAAGGGTTACCTATTGCTCCCTTCGGCTTGCAATTGCCGTTCCGACGTAACTCTAGCCAGATGCCGTAGCAGTTTGGCTCGGGTTGGGGGAGCATGGCGTTTCTATCGCACATACTTGTACAATTTTTCCTTTTTCTAATATCGCCATCGTAAAACTGGTTCTTTCCTATTATGGCGCTTTTTTTTTTCTTCTTCTTTTCCTTTCTATTTTCTCACTTGCACCTTCGTACTGACTAGTCTGGGGGTTAATCATGGGTCAAAAAGTTAAAAATAATAATGTGTGGAAATAACAACCCGGAACTACAAATTAATAGGGAAGGGTTTAAAAAAAAAAAAAAAGTTCATGCATCGTATCACCGCCGGCGAGTTAGGTTGGCCGTGGGTCAGTCGGACAGTTCAAAAACCAAAATCGGACTGACCAACTGAATTGACTGACAGCCAGCTGGACAGGACCAGCTAGCCGGCCAACCAGCCATCCGGAAAACCCTTCACACGTCCAGGACAGCCCATGGCTGACCAAGGCGGCGGCTGCCTATTGTAGGCGCGGGACGGGTGTGAAGGGAGAAATGGGTAATATTGTAACGAAACGAAAAAGCTAGGTACGGAGGGAAAAAAAGAATATCATGGAGAGATGCGGCTTGCAAATCAATCCCACAAGAGGCGAAAGAGTGTTTGAGGAGAGAGGGAGAAGCCTCCCCTCAGCGAAAGGCTTGGTGTTTAACTGCATAATTGATGCACACGGAAGTCTAGAGGATCACGGAGGGGTGTCGTTTGAAGAGGTGGTACCGTACCATGGAGCATGATAAGTTTACCAATTACGGTGGCGGAGATAGTGAGTAGACAAGAAAGTGCGAGGGAAAAAATTAATCCCCGATTGCCTATGGCATTGCTACAAGTGCCCTGGTGATGTTCTCACAAGAGGCAGGGATTGTGTTGAGGGCTAACCTGGATTAACTGTCTGTTCACTAACTTTCTCGTGGGTACTTGTGTAGAATACAGGTACTTGTAGGGAAATAGAAGGAGGAACGGAATGATTTGGATAATAAATTCCTTCTCCGTGTGTCCTGAATTCCTGCTTTCAAACCGCTTGCTACGCCTGGCCAGTCGGCCCATGATACCAGTTCTGACGCAGCCGGAGCCTAACTCAGCAGCTCACTCGCTCATTCACCCACTCACATAATTTGGCTTCACAACCTGGCTCTCTCTCCTTGCAGTCTCCGAGTTGAACTGTCCGCTCGTCTGTCTGGCTGTCCGGTTGTCTGTTTGGTAGTTCCCGGGCCCCCAAACCTCAAACCTGTTGCCTCTCCCCTTCACCTTCTAGTCTTCTCCCTCCTTCACCTAAGGTCTTATTTCTTCAGGTACGCCTGGGGGTAGCCTGCAATTGAAGTCAACCAGTCTGGTCCCTTCTTGAGTTTGCTTGTCAAGTCACACACTCACACTCGGACCACAACTGTCGGTTGTCGAGTCACCCACGCAGCTACCAAACCCCGTCCAACAACGCAACGCACCACCAGCCCACCCTCCCACCACCTTCACCCCCCCCCCCCCTTCCCTCAATTCCCTCGACCCTCAATTATCTTTTCTTTTTCCGCTCTTGACCTGTCCCGGACCAAGGAGTCCGGAAAGCAATAAACATCGAGGCCTCGCCTTCACTTGTTCAACCGTTCACAATCTTCTTTCCAGGCGAGTGTTGTCGTCTCAATTCGTCGCCTCATCGGTTTCGGTTCTGCCCTTTCGGACTCGGTGGGACGACTGGGTAAAGAGCGGATAGGAAAACTCTCTAGGAACCAGATTGACAAGCTCCGGTGACGCAAACTCGTTGGCCACTTCCAGGCGTGCTTCCTGTTCATTCATCCGACTCGAAGGAGGGAAGTAAAAGTGTTTTCCCCTTCTGTGTTCATCTCCGGATATACCTCGCCTCCATCGAACCGGTACTCAGTGGATTAACTCTCTCTTTATTTTTTCCTGCGGTGAATCACTTGTCCATCTACTGTTCACTGCTGCCTTGGCTTGTGGGTACCTCCTTCGAACCACCCAGCCTTGCTTGCTCTGAAGGAAAAAAGAAAACACAAGCTTTCTTCCGCTCTTCATTGTATCTTTTTTTTTTTTTGGAGGGGAAAAGATCACTTTTTGTTGACGATTGTGAATTACAGTGTACTTTGCGGATTCTCTTCAACCTTTGCGTTTGGGAATACGGTTTGAACTCCTTCCTTCCTCCCTCTCCCTCTCACTCTGAACTTGCGACCCGGCGAACTTCTTACGACTACGCAACAATGCTGACATGTGGAATAGGTATCCACTGATAACTGCCTTGGTGTTAATGAGAGCATCGTGCTTCCTATCGACGACTTGAGGCCGAACCAAGTACATTTTCGATTCACCCCAATTCTTCGGAGATCCTTCGACCTGGCTGCGCTATCTTCGGGAGAATTTCTGCTTCTCAGTGAGTTAAAGCTTCTGCCAACGATCAGGGCACGGGATATAGTTTTACTCACGGCTAAAGTCTCGTTCCACGCATCCACCAATCAGTCTTGAGAACTCCTTAGGGAAACAAATTCCACCCCCCAATTTCAAATCAACCTCTCCAATATCTGGGCTCGAGCCCTGAAGGGCTTACTAGGTCGTTGGATTGCGTTTCTCTGTGGATTGGGTCGCTCTTTTTCTACGATCCTAGATTCCCCGGCGTCTCGTCAATCTGACTACATTCTTTCTCGCAAGCCTGGTCTGATTTATCAGCCTCGCTTGAACTTTTATCAGAGCCCTTCTTTCGAGCATGGCAGCAGATAATATCGTGCTTCAATCGACAACCAGCCCGAACTCTCCTCCAATGTCGTCCTCTTATACTGGAGTGAACAATAGTGGTATGGCTTCACCTGTCTGCGTCCGTGCCATACGATCCTTTGCCATTCACTGGATGTGCACCGTGCCGTCTTTGCTGACCACTTTGCTTTTATCGTTTTTTGTTAGGCAACAAAACTCAGCCACCCCCACCGCCTCCACCCAAGACGGATAAACCCAGACCTCATGTCTGTGCAACTTGTTCGCGTTCATTCGCACGTCTAGAACATCTCAAGCGCCATGAGCGCTCCCACACAAAGGAGAAGCCATTTGAGTGCCCAGAGTGTACACGCTGTTTTGCTCGCAGGGACCTGCTTCTCAGGCACCAGCAAAAATTGCACATGACAACGACTCCCAGCAGTCGCCCAAGAGCCAGCGGTCGGAGAGAAAGCACAAGTTCAGTAACGTCCACTAACCCCGGGAGGGTCAGGAAGAACTCAATTTCTACCACTGCCACTGGCCCGGTTAGTCATGGTGATGGTGGGGCTTCCGCTATGAGGGCTAGGCCTAGGGCGAATACCATTGCCCACGTAGACTCCTCAACCCTTGGGATGATTGCAGCTGCCAATGCGAATGTGAACCGCGGGAGAAGTAATAGCAGTGCTCAAGGTAGTATGGGCGGCACCGGCATAGGTTCTTTGAATCATGAAGAAACCAGGTATGTCTTTCCGAAGAATACCCGACCATGGGGTGCCTGGGCTCATGCGGAACCTAGGCACTCAGTACCCAAGATTGACACATCATTGTCTTCTTTGGATCTGGGTGGGATGATGCCTCGCTCTGCCTCCATGCTTCCTTCTGAATATGAACTTGATGGCCTGTTGTTTGGAGGAACTGTCAATCCGGCAGCGTTGCACTTCAATATGTCTCCCCTCCAGCAGCCCATTGGGACGCCAACTTCACCTTTCGGGCCCCCATTCCCCGGCCTTGATTCTTCGTATTATATCGAAGATGATGATGACTACGAATGGATGAATCCTCTTGGCGGTGGAAGCCTTATGGATCCCGTTGACCAGTCATCCCCCAGTGCTTTCAGTACCACCTCGGCCAGTGGAATCAGTGAAGTTATTCTTAATGAGAATCCAGGGTGGGGCGGTCAGATGGGTATGGGTGCGGGTTCCGGAAATTCCATCAATTTTAATTCTCCGAATGATTTCTCGGGATCGAATTTTCATCATGAGACACCACCACCACCGGGAACCATCTCCCCCAAAACTCTTTTGGCTCAACAATCGTCCCATGAAAATTACTACTCTGGCCCGCTTTCCATCTCACCCTCTACCATGGGCCACCACTTCCCACCATTCAACAATAATCACCAGTATGGTCCTAACAATCGCACATCTTCGGCCACCTCCCTGCATAGCAACGGCGGATCATCCATGACCTCGCTCTCTGCCGAATCCGTGACAGATGCTACTCGAGGAGCATTGCTGGCAACGCTCGCGCAAGCCTCTGGTGTTTTCAATAACCAGGGCGCCCAGACCTATCAACCTCCCCGTGTTCACCAACGGCGCTACTCAACATCCACACAACCAGCACCGGGAACTACCAGTTTTTCCCCATTTGTCGGGAAGGCTACCGGTCTGCCCAGCACTGCCGATCTCCAGCGATATGTTGGGGCTTATATCAAATATTTTCATCCGCATCTCCCCTTCCTCCATATACCGACGCTCAATTTCAACTCCCCGGCATTCACCACTAGCGTCAAGGGTGGTCAGCGCAGCAGCGGGATTATCGGGGGTGGTGGGTGCCTCGTTTTGTCCATTGCCGCGATCGGTGCCCTCTACGAGTTCGAACAAACCGCCGCCCGTGATATCTTTGAGGCGTCCAAGAAGACAATTCAAATTTTCCTTGAAGATCGTAGAAAGGCCGATGCCACTGCTGCTCTTAGTGGTCTCAATACTAATAATGGAGGCAGTGGTGATAGTGGGACCAACACTCCCGTTTGGCTTGTGCAGGCTATGCTTTTGAACGTCATTTACGGATTGCAGTGTGGAGACAAAACTGCTTGCGAAACCGCCGTCACCCACTGCGCATTATTGGTCAGTTTGGCTAGGGCTGCCGGTTTGACTAGACAGCCTCATGTGTCCACTACGCAAACTTTCAAGCAAGAAGACGGGGACATTCGTATGGGTGACTTAGAATCATATGGTGGTAGTGTGGGCAGCGATGGTTGGGGCGGAATTAACATCAAGATGGAGCCGGATGAAAATGTAGAGTGGTCGAGCTGGGTCATTGCCGAGGAGCGGAAACGAACCTTGTACGCCGTTCACTTCTTATCGAGCCTGCTTGTTGCGGCGCACAACTTGTCTCCTGCGCTCATGAATAACGAGATCCGCTGTGACTTGCCATGCGACGAGGAGCTTTGGTCGGCCGGGACCGCTGCGTTATGGAAATCCCGTGGCGGTCTGGCCTTGGCATCACAAAACTCGGTCAATTTCACCAGTGCTCTTACCGGGCTCTTGTCTGCCGGCCAGCAAACATATGGCTCCCCAGGGCAATTCCAAAACTTTACCAATGGTCAGCAGGGAGGTGTTCCCCCATATCCACCCTCAGGGATTATTCCAAGCACCTTTGGGTGCCTAGTCTTGATTTGCGCACTTCATGTCTATATTTGGGAGACGAGACAAAGACACCACTCTCGCCATTGGACGTCATCTGAGGCTGAGGTAATGCACGCCCACATCGAGCCTGCTCTCAAGGCATGGCAAGCTGCCTGGTACAGCAGCCCCCATCATAGCATTGAGAGGCCCAACCCGTACGCGATGGGCCCCCTATCAGCCGATTGTATCCCTCTGCTTGACCTCGCTTACATTCGCTTGTTTGTCGATCTTGGCAGAGCCAAAGAATTCTTTTGGGCTAGAGACTATGAAGCCATGGCCGAAGAGATTGCGAGAGGGTGGGAGAATGCTCAGAACAACTCTCCGTCGAGTGCTTCTTCTATCTCTGCGCATTCCGACTCGTCCTTCTCCGGTGCAATTTCACCCACGTCGTCTCCCGCTTCCCAATCCCCATCGCCAAACCTACGGCCAATTAAGATCGAACCCGGAGCAGCTCCTCGATACTCCGCGAGCAGCAATGGCATGAACGTTGATTCTTCAAGTGCCTCCACAAAGAGAGAAAAACATCTTCGAAAGGCCGCTTTCTACGCTGCCGATTCTCTTGCTATGTCAGATACCCTCGGTGCTTCATCCTCTTCGGCTACCGCTTGCCGGGAACTTCCCATCCAATCGGCGCTGTGCACATTTGACTGCGCCCAGGTACTTGCTGAGTGGATTGCTACAGTGCAGGAACGTGTTAACCCTTATATGGGTGCTCTTGGGAGTGACGAGTGCAACATGGCAAGCCTTGAAGGACTGGTGATGCTTGAACATGAGGACCGAAAGTTACTCACTAAGGTTATGGAGATGTTGAGAAACGCCGAGATGAAGATGTCTATTGATTGGAATAACAACCCGAATAGCAAAGGGAATAACATTCTGAGAGCCGATGCTGGTCTGGGATCCAAGGTGCTCAATGTGAGCGCGTACTTGCTTGACAAGGTTGTCATCTGGCCTGGTATGTTTTTCCCCTCTGTTTATAGTTGCCAGATCGACATCTAACCTTGTTCCAGCCACGCGCCTTATGGCCCAAGCTCTTCGCGCACAATCCGAGCACATGGAAGCACGCGTCAAGCATGGCGGCCTCACCCACTAGATCCCCCTTGTTTGCCATATTCATGCATAATGATGTAAGATGAAACGGAGTTCAGCACAGCGCACTCGGCTTCCTTTTTGCCCCCGAGTCATCTAGAAAAGTTTTGTTTGTTCACTCACATAAATGGCATGGAGCAAGCGGTTTAAAGGTTCAGGGAGTTACACATATTTCCTTATGTCTTCATTTTCCCTATGTTTCTCACGTAAATAACGAATGTCGATGCCGAGCTTTCCTTAACCTTTCTCGTACTGGGTTTGGGTCTTTCATATCATGTATTCGGTCTGGGACATAAGTGCTTCGTTTTCATCTTGAAATTTTTAGTTTCCTTTTCCTCTCTCCTTCATTTCCTTTCTACGGGGCATGGTGTTTTTGATTACCTTCTGGGTTCCCTTCTTTCCCTTATTTGTGATTTTAACCCATCATATGGAATTGTACGTTTTCGGGTGTTTCCCTGAAGGGATGATAGGAATTTCCTTTGATTCATGTATCGGGTGAATAGGACTTTGTAGTTGAATAAGCGTTTATTCTGTATTGATTTGATATTCGTGTTCATATTATGCATTTTCTTTTACATATCTTGCAGCTGTTTTTTTTTCTCACTTTCGGTTCTGGGTCTTTGCTTCTTCTCTTAAGTTATTTCCTTTGTAAGGGGGTTTCTTAGCCTTTGCCGATCGTGTCGACTGGGACGACGACTTCCTCTATCAGAAGGGGGTAACGAAAATTAGGCGGATTGGAGAGAGGTTCTTGGAGGTAAGAGTGGGTGTGTTGGAGGAGGAAAGAGAGAGCAAGAGACTCGGGTGGAGAAGCGCAAGGTGGACATCAAAGGGTCATATCCGGAGGAACCAAAAATAAAGGAAAAAAAAGAGAGAAGGGGGGGGGGTGAGTGAGATGGAAATCATATAAAAGGAAAAAAAATGACAGAAAAAAAAGCAAAAAAGAAGAAAAGCCCCTACAAAAAAAACCTTTGTTAACGACCCATTTATGCAGAAAAAACCCTGTTTTTTCATTTCATCGTTGTTCTTGCCCTATCACCTATTCCCCCTTGCACCTCCCTCCCTGTCTCTCTCCTTTCCTGTCCTGCCTTCTCGCCTTCCATCCGTCCTGTACTCCTTTCTTCCCCCCTCTTGCCCTTCCCACGCACAACCTTCCACCCCTTCCTACCCTAGCCACCCACCTGCTCACCCTCTACCCCTCATCTTTCCCTTCCCCTGAGACCATACTATTATGATATATACTATACCGTCACACTCGGCCCTCCGCTCTGTTCTATACATATCATTCCCGGAAACGGAGACGGAGACGGAGAGAGAGATAGAGGATGTATGTATCAAATCATCTCGGCGTGATGGGAAAAAAAGGGGGCGCGCATCTTTTCATGTTACTATCTTCCTTTTCTTTCCCCTCCTTTTCTTTTCTTTTTCTCGACAATTTAGGAATGGGAAATGGAGTTTTGGGGGTTTTGTTTGTATCGTTATTGCTGTTTTTATCTTCGGAAGATGGACGAGATGAAGTGATATCCGACTGAATTTGTGATTTTGGCGAACCAAACTTTGGTTGTGGAGTGATTTTTAGTGATGGTGATCGTACGCTGGGAGGGGTGATATATAGGGAGTTGGTGTGGGGCGTATCATACTGTGTTGTACAGTACCACATGGGTAGGTATCATAAGTAGGAAGTCGATGTACTGTACGAGTACAGTAGGTAGGTCTTGCCTGCTTGCCCTTGAGTATTATCGACAAGATTTGATTTCATAATTGGCGTTACCATCGTAGATTTCCGATATCTCGCTCCTCAAAAGCCTTGCTCAATTCCACACAACCACCCCCCCCCCTTTCTCCATCTATTCGAGAAAGGAAATTCGTTTAAAACAATTAAACATTACCCCCCCCCTTTTTTTTTCGCATATTACACCCCCAACTCCATCAATCAATCACCCATCATCACCACCTCCCTGAATCTTCGCATGCTTGAAATACTTCATCCCCATCCACGCAACGACGACCCACACCCACGCCATAACGCAAGTAAGTATCACCAACGCAGGATAATACCCAGGGATGGCGGCATCCTTGGCGACACTAGCATCGTTCACAATTCTCGGAAACGGCGACTAGAGAAGAAGAAAAAACGGTTAGCCCAACAACCCTTTCCAACCTTTCCGTTCACTTCACGCCCCCCCTCTTCCCCGTACCGAATCGACAAAACAGGTACCTACATCCGGAACATCCCAAGCCCACTCCCAAACCCCCAATACACTACCCATACCCACGACAAAGACAATCCACGTAGCCCCAAGCACAACAAACCCGTAGTAAGCAGTGTCAGCCGCAGACTCGATTTCCTGCTGGCGGAGGAGGAGAATGAAGCTGCCGCTCCGACCTCGTCTACCCCCACCCCCAGCCCCACCCCCATTCACCACCACCACACTTCCGCTCTCGCTACCGTCGTTGTCGTCGCCATCATCATCATCGTGTATGGCGCTGGAAGGGATAGTTATCGGGGAGGGAGGCGATGGAATCGGGGATGTGGGGTGCGGACGGAGGAGAAGGTTTGTGCGGAGGGAGCGGCCGCGACGGCGGGGTTTCGTGGTGGAGGTGGTAGTGGTGGTGGTGGTGGTGGTGGGAGTTGTGTTTGGGTGAATGCTGCTGGCATTCGTGAGGCTTGCCGTGTCGGGGGAGGAAAGGGGGCTCGTCGAGGCGGAGGAGGTGGTGGAAGAGGAGGTGGAGGTGGAGGCCGTGTTAGCGGGGGTGGTGGTGCGGGTTTTGCGCCGCGCGTAGAGGGTTTCGGGAGGGGGTTTGTGGGTCATTGGGCATTTTAGTGGGGTTGTGGTTTGTGTTGGTGAGGTTGGTAGTGATTGTGGTTATCTGGTTTTGGGTTGGTGAGGCTCCGGTGCCTGAAACTGTACAATTCTGTATGGTGGTGGTGGTGGTACGAGTAGTTGTTGTTGGATGGTGAGGTATGATAACGGGCCGGTAGCGGTCTGTAATAAATATTAATTTGCCAAGCTAGCCTCATGAGAGGTCAACCCCTTGGCAAATAACTATCCACTATTCCCGCCAAGGAAATTGACATGCCCAGAACACTCCCCTGCCTATCATATCATACTTGTACCAAATGTTTAACCTGAGACTCGATATATTCATCCCTATTTTCCCTCTATCAACCCGCAGAGAACCGTACACCCTATCGCCTAACCAGAGCCGCGATTCCCATCGTATCATAGCCATCATTCAGCCCGAAATCCCATTGATGCGCCGACCTCGGCGGATACGAGTACTTTCACTCACCAAATAATACTATCATACCACAGGAAAGTTAAAAAAAAAAAGAACGAAGAGCAGATAGAAGAAACACTTGTAATTTCCAGCTTCACTTTTATCATCGTGCCAAAACTTCTCCCCTCGCACTGGCATCGTAGCGAGGAATTGATTGGTGCGGGTTTGGCGGGTAAGTTAACTTTGCTCTTACTTGACAGGATGCCGTGAAGTGAAGGGAAGGGAAGGGAAGGGAAACTGCGGTGTGGGATCTACTCCTGTCTTGGTCGGGTCGGTAACATACAGAGTCTTGAGGTTTGAAGCACGATTCTTCTTCTTCTCTTGTTTCTGGTTATTTGCTCTACACTATGATACCTGAGTACCGTACCCATTGTCTTAGTCGCCAGGGGATTCCGGCACCGGTGCTCACTCGTTGGAAGGGGGGGGGGGGGAGTGGAGTGCGGTTTTTGGAGGTGAATTGAGTTGATTATTATAGCTTCCAGCCTAATTTGTATCATACAAAAAAAGTAAATCGCAAGAGTATTCATCACGCCCCTACCGAAAAAGTCCCCTGAGCCAAGGCCTCCTCTTATTGAGAACGGCTCCAACTTCCGCGAACCCCGCCCACCCCGCTGTCACAGCTGCAAGATCCGCGGCCGACTCTCCGCGCAGGTCGGGTACATCCCTGGCCCCAGCCTTGACCAAGGCGACGATAACCTCCTTCTTCCCGCTGAACACGCCCCAATGCAATACACCGGCCCCCTCCCCGTCCAGATCCCCGACCCTAGCCCCAGCCTTGACCAGCGCTCGAATGACAGCAACCCTACCCCCCCGCGCGGCCCAATGCAGCGGCGTCCCCCCAGCGCTATGGCGGAGAACCCTCTCCACCGACACCCCCCCTCGAGCCAATACATGAGCCAACTGTCCAGAATCCAACCAGCGCGTGCTATCCCCGCTGCCGCTCGCGCGGCAATGCACGCTCACACCCGGGGTCTTCAAGAGCACCTCCAGCACCTCCAGACATCCGCCCAGTGCGGCCCAGTGCAGCGGCGTGCCCCCGAGCACGGGATCCTCCCCAATCGCGTTCGCTCCCGCTTCCAGCAGGCACGACACCGTGCCCGGAGACCCGGCCTTCACAGCGTAGAGCAGCGGCGTCTGGTACATTGCGTCGTGGACGTCCGGCGTGTGCCCCGACTGCACGAGCTGGCGCGCCAGTCGGGCGTGGCCGTGCGAGGCGGCCCAGTGCAGTGGCGGGAGGGAGTCCCATGGTGTTTTGGCCAGTTTGTGCAGGTGCGGGGTTAGTAGTCTGTGGAGGTGTTTGCAGGTTTGGATCGACCTCGAGAGTGCGTGCGCCGGGAGGTTGTCGGCTATTAGAAGGAGAAGTTCGTTTGGGAGGGAGAGGAGGTATGGCATTTTTTTTTTCTTTTCTTTCTTCACGGCTTATATATGAGAGTGAGGGTCACGCTCCTGGTGATTGGGTGATGTTTTGTGTCTCATTGTGGGGATGCAGAAGTGTATTTATGTTTGGCTTGATTGGATTTTTTTTTCCCCCTCTTTTTTTATTTTCGGGGAGGATGTGGTTAGTGGTGGTGTCGGACTACTTCCCTACAAACGTATGATGACCGGAGATGAGGTAAAAAAAAAGTGGTGGTGGTGGTGAGAAAGGGTGCTGTATATACACTACTTGGAGGCTAAAAAGCATCCAGAGATGTTTCCGCATAACGAAGTGATCATTTCACGGGTCGACATACATCAACTGTTCGCAAAAAAAAATTTAAAGATACTTACTATACGTGGGAGACTACCCCAGCTACAATAACAGCTATTCCTCTCTCTCACACCAAGCGCGCAGTTTAAATTTACTACAGTACTTTATAAAGCTAAGGACCGAATACCCCCGCCACCCAAATCCTAATCAAAACCCAATAACCCGCCCATCCAAAATATAGTACACTGTTACCCCACAACCGCCGTATCACGATACATCATCATCGTACTCGTGTTTTAACCACAGTTATCCCAAATCAAGTATCGTACAAAGTACCGTACCTCTCTAATTACCTCTCCCTCTCCACTCGGTACCACGGCATATAAACCCTACCGTGCGAGTACGCTTAGACCCCGGTGGACATCCCACATTCAGTGTCTCCTTCCACTTTCGTCACTTTGCCCCACCCCCTACAATCCCCCTTCCTTCCCCTCCTCCTCGTACTCCTGGAGGGAAACTTTTTGTGTACTCGAGTACAGCACCGGTACTTGCATACCAAGCCGTTTAGTGCTAAATACATTTCTTTCTTTCTTTCCCGCCCGGCGCATGCAAGCTTCCGGTAGATACTGTATGATAGACGCCCTGCATCCCGGGACGGAGGAAGGGGCGTTCAGAATCGCGCAGGTAGGGTTAGGTTTGGGCATTTAGATTTTCTTTTCTTCTCTTCTTTTTTTTTTTCAATAGAGAATTGTTACAACTGTATGCTGTAGAACGCAGTTTTGTGCGCGAGTTGATATAGTACGGGTATAACGATCTGAAATTTTTGCTCCCCGGATATCTATCTATCTACACCCCGTGATATCAGGTTCGACTGAAGACCCATAGCGGGGAAGATTTCATATGATAGATGATGATAGCTCACCGGATGGAATTGATTGAGCGCCGGTGAAAATAAAAGTAAAAAGAAGGAGAGAGAAATGCAGCGATTTCGCATATGTTGGAACAGACGAACTGCCTCATACGGACTAAATATTATTGTGTCTGCCTAAAAAGAGGATCACAGTACTTCTGAGTACTAGTACTAGTACGAGAAAGTCATTAATTAAGCCTGACTTGGCTGGTTCAGGACGGTGTTCAGTTACCGCTCAGCGTCTCGTGAGATTTTTCCTATCCGTTCCTATGGTACTGTACTGTACTGTACTCGTACCGTGCCCATCTTGCTCTGCGTGACACTCAAAGCACTGTCTAAGTTTACCCGGCGAGTGTTCCGTTATCATGGTAATACTAGAATACTAGTTTTACGTAGATGCCAGGGGGGTTTTTTTTTCGGTTCTTTTGACTGGATGGAGTATGATTTTAGCTGACGATTCAAGTTAGGGTCTTTCTAATACCTGACAACCGGTACCAGTATTCGAGGGTAAGTCCTTCGCTTATGGGTTAGACGCTTAGGGCTAGTACTGTACAATGCATTGGAGCATATCTCATATTATCATACTAGACGTCCGCTTGCAGTTCTCAAGCGCACGCCAACCGTCGTCGGTTCCCCGATCCATAGCGGTACTGTAACTTAAATTTATCATACGGTAAACACCTTCACGAAACACTGGAAAAGGGGATTCTCAGATCAAGTCCTGATATGATTGATATCTATGCGCGCTCCACAACCCCTTGATACGTACTGTACTATCATAGCACAGTACGAGCACTGCAAGTACGGTAAGCATTAACCCCGGCTATCTAGCCATCACACTCCACCCGACCAAGCCAATAGGGTAAACTACCGTAAATAAACTCGTTGCGAAAAAATGGAATTCCCGTTTCACAAACAGTATTACTGATCATGTTCGAACGGGATCTGCATCGTATCGGGACGTGAATGGGTGAAAGGGTGAGAGGGCATTGAGGGTTAGAATAGGGGGGGGGGGGGAATTGTGCTATCCAGCGCTAGTGGAGGGTTTGTGTCTGTCAATTCGCGTGCACCGGTAGTGTAGAGTACGGTACCTGAAAAAATGGACTGAAGAGGTAGGGTATAGCAGCTTGACTTGCTATGCTTTTGCTGCTTTAGTTTCTATAATGCTCGGGTGTTGGCTATGCTAGTGAATGGGGAGGACTGGAGATTAGGTGGTGAAGCGATGAAAAACGTCTTTCTTTTTGGCTGTGCGTAGGGAAGGATTTGGAGAGGGGGGGTATCAGTACCCTACAGATACTACTCTGCCGCCATTTGGCGCTGGATATGTCGTAGCAGACGGCACAGATCCCCTTTCGCTAAAGGAAGAAACAGAGCGGTAATTTATTAGTAGTGCGCAATGAGTAGGGTACAAGAACCTAACTATTTAGGAAACCATTATAATAGATCATCAAGTTAGAGGGCTTGCCCGGCGAGACCTAATCAGGTGCTAATAAGTCAAGGACAAGGCTTGGCCACCCGGTTGAGGCGTAAAAGCGCCTAAAATTGTATCATACCTGAAATTGATGGCTGCAAATATCCACCTCCACTGCTAGCGCATCTTCATGTCTCCATTAGGGTATGATCTTGTGTGTAGCCATTCTTCTCAAGCGCAAACCTAACAAGAAAAAAAACAGTTCCAAAGAAAATCTAGGAATTGGTTACTACTGTATGACCTCCTGAACGGATAGAGTTTAAAGAAACTAAACAGTTGTCGGGGATCCGTTGATGGGAGTGGCAACCCCTAACTTACTTGTGCCAGCATTGCTAATAACCCCCATATAGGCTCTCTGCCATCAGAAGAAATTACTGCAGTGTTTATTTCTAGCCTGCTACAAATGTTCTTTTCCTCAAAAGAGCCAGTTAGACCCTCTACCTTTTGCACCCAACTAATAAATCATGCCCCATCAGAGGAAGATATCTTGTCATCCTCTACGATGCGATAAACTTGGTGCCAAATCTTAGCGGAGAAGCACAAGTACCGTAGGTGTAAACGATGTATGATTCGGAAAAGACAAAAACAGTGTCACAGATTAGCACCTAGATAACCTTTCAAGATTGTAAATTACATGCGTGACCCCATTATAGCGTGGACTCCTACAAAACATCAAAAGGTTGAAGCCATGCCGAAACCTTCCTAATCCACCTTTTCTTCCGCTACCGCGCCGATTACGGACCTCAGCCCTGGGTATACGACCCAGAGGCGAGTTCTACCATATCTACACCACGCCACCCCACAATAAGCTCAATTTCCCCCACAGCCATACTAAGGAAAGCCAAGGTCAAGGTCCCCCAGCCCTCACAACCACCCAATAATAATAATTCACAATGAGGCGCCCTGAACTTCTACTCAAGCTTTTGCTAAATTTAATTACGCAGGGGTCGACCAATTCTCGACATCGGGGCCACCGCACCAGGCACGCATCCCGGGAACAAATACTCATCCTACCATCATAGCAGATGCCCTTCCATCACTATCATTTTCAAACAACACAACAATACCAAACACAGTTTAAATGCATGACGGGCGCTAGAGATTACACCCTGGTGGGAAAAGAGATCAACATATGCGGAACCGGAATTGGGTAGAAATGCGGGGAAGGGCGGTACTGTATGCTCGAACGTTACTCTGCAAAGGTATACGCCTCCGCATATGACGACTCCGGAGGGGCGCTCGGAAAGTGGCAGGCATGATATCATACTAGCTGCAGTATCATACATTATCTTCTCTCTCTCTCTCCATCACAAATGATCACTCGTTATTTTCTTTTTGAGATATTTCCTTACTCATGACCAACCGGCCAACCAGCCAACCAGCCAACCATGCAATCCGTCATATATATATCACCAAATCATACCCAGGAGGCACGTTTAAAACCTCCCGTCCAGAAGTGAGAATCCCGATGAGGCCCTCGCGAGATTGGGATGTTTCCGGTCCGCTCAGGCCTTTCATCGTAATGTCAATATATATCCCGTCGTGTACAGTACGGTCCTAAGGATATACCGGCATCGCAGCCTGCAAGCAAGCGGATGGATGGATGGAGTCCAGTGGTGACAATAAGCCCCCGCAAGTTTCCACATTTTCGCAATGACAAATGTTGGCTCGGTGTGGATTGGGGCTTTCTCACTCACTTGCTTACAGTGCTCGCGCAGAAGTTGGTGCCTGACTTATCATCTGCTTATAATGTCACGCTCTTACTTCGCTGTACCGGACTGGATCGGACTTGTACCGGTGATTTCGACAACTTTCCGCTGCGGATGGTGTAGTTGTCCGGATGCATTGGTGGTGCACAGTACACACCCCTTCGCTCTGCTTCAAGGGTATCGTGCCCGCCGGGTCTTCCGCGAGCACATGTATGACATCATACTATACAGGGAACGTGGTATATTCGTTCCTATAACTCCAAGGCTGCCTCGGTGACCTGGTCCTCCTATTTCCCCAAGTTACAGTACGGTACCCTCCCGCTTGGACTCAATCGACTTCCGTTTCGGACATCATAGGAACTTGAAGGGACATGATATCATATGATACGTACAGGACCACCAGGCATGGTAAACCAATCGACTAGCCCACTCCTCCTCTTCTACCAATAACTTCAATCACCAAAATTATCTACACCAAAAAAGAGTCAATATGGAGCGGAAAGGCGAAAAATAACGATAAAAAAACCCATATATATAAAAAAAAATGGTTAGATATCTAAACCGCAAGAAAAGAAAAAAGAAAAAAAACTCCGCATATGCCCATAACCACGTGTACCCAAGCCGTCCACTCTACTCCGCCCCCTCCATAAACACGAAAAACAAAACAAGAAAACTATGCAAAGAAAAAAAAGCCTCCCGAGTAGGTACACAACGCAGGGCCGGCTACCCCTCATCTCCCCTGCCTATAGCTTCGTTCCTCGCCCTTTCCACAGCCCCCCAACTCCCGCGCCTCCCACGCCGTGGCGCAGGAATGAATGTGACAGGGAGTTGGAGGGGGTCTTCTGTCCGCCGCTTTTTGCGTCGGAAACTCCACTCGTTCGATGGTGTCTCTCGCATTGGCAGTGCGGTCGGTGGTGGGAGCGATGGTGGTGGAGGTGTAGGGTCTGTTTGGGATTGGGAGGGGAAATGTATACGGGAGGAGGAAGAGATGTTCATGATGGAAGCGTTGTGTGTCCGGTGGTCGACGTCGGCGGCTTCTTGGGCTTCTATTGTCTGTGGCGGTGATGATGATGACGCTTTTACCGTCGGGGGAGGCGGGGTAGGGGAAGAGGTGGAGAGATGGTGGGTGGATGTGGTGCTATTGGAACGGACGATCCGCTCCCGGGCGGTGTATGAGCTGGAAGGGGTGTTCAGTCTATTCAGTGGGGGGTCGATGCTACGGACGTTGATGGCGTAGTTCGTGCTCTCGCTTGTCACGGTCGTTTCCCGGCTTAGTCCCCCGTCTCCTCCGTTGTTACCGCCGCCTTGGCCAAAGTGCTGGCGGCGTTGGTGGTCACCCTGGAACCCGTCCTCGTCTTCGTCTTCATCGAAGACTTCCCTTCCTAGAACCCCACCCTTGCTTTCTTCTCTCTCGAGCTCTTCGATTCTGTCCACCCATTCCCAGACCACTGCACTGGCACTCGCCGCCCCAACCCAACGGACGTAATCCCCCCACCCCGCGAGGTCCTTCTGGGCGATATCTAGGACAAAAAACACGATCGGTGTGAGCACACTCGCGATACTGAGTATCGCAACCAGGATGATGCTTCTACCACCACACCTCCTACTCCCCGGCGGGGACCTCGAAAATAAGGGGGGGTAGAAGTAACTATACCTCCTCTTCGCGAAGGAGTAATAAAGCACGCACGAGGCGTACAGCAGCGACAAGGCAATCTGGAAAAGATACGACAGAGCGGGAATTGCGTCGAGGAACGAATCCGGATCCGAAGACAGCGGGGAAACATAAGTTTGCAGGATGGAGAATATGGTGTCCAGAAGGATGAGCCCGAAACCCGCCCATTTGATGATCACCTTTTCACGCTCACGAGGAAAGAGGCGGATTAGCGTTTGCACTTGTGCCAACCAGAGGAAGAGGTCTGAAATTATTCTCCCTATCCGGATGAATGTTCCACCGACAACCTGGTGGCGGACTCGGCGAGCTTCGTTGGTCATGCTATACAAGCTGGACCCGCGAAGGGAGTACTCCTGCTTCAGCACCGTCGTCGTCTCCGCAAACGCAGTGGTCAGGCAGATGACCACCGTGAGCGTGGCAACCTTCTGCAGCCAAGGCCTCGAATTCGGTGGGTTCGGCAGGAACAGCAGGAACAATAGCACGTACGCCAGCGTCGTGGTCGCGGATATAGAGTAGGCCATGGGAATGGTAGAAGCATAGAACGGGTCACGGAGTTCGCTGGCCGCAATCGAGTCGGCCGAGGCACCGTCGGCCGCGGTGGCGGTGGAGGACGGCGGGTACGTACTCGTGTAGCAGTCCGGCGTTACCGTGACATCGGAGGCAAGGGTGATCACGGATGACGGGGAGAGGGAGATCGTCCATCCTCCCGAAAGCGTGTATGGCGCGCAGGTTGGGGTGGTGGGGGCCTTGGTGATTGGAGGTGTGGTCGCTCGCCAGTTTTGTCGCGGCATGTCTGCTGCCGCTGATGTGGTGTTTATTGTGGGAGTTTGACATACATGGGTTCTCTTTGCCTCCTACCTTCGTACGATTATGTCGTTGTTGGTTTGGTGATTGAGGGGTTGGATTTCCAGCGGCGGTAGTTCGTTCGTTCGTTCGTTCGTTCGTTCGTTCCCGAGGACGGTTGGAGCTGGGCGGGTGGCGATGGTGGTGAAGAGATTTGGCTTGGTCAAAAGCTTGTATCTGGTGTGGGGGGGTGAAAGGGGCCTGGGATTGGTTCCTTGAGGGGCTTTGTGTCGCAGGGATGGCCGAAGTGAGACAGGGACACTGAGTGGGTGGGCTGGAACAGGAGGAGCTCGATTCGCTCACTGGTGAGATGTTATCGATAGCACTTGAGGGGAATAGGGTAATCCGATATCGCTTTCTCGTCCAGTACGGTGCGGTAGCTAAGTGAGAACTTGGGCAGGAAATCATGGCTCTATCATAAGGCTATAGTGATACGCTGTGGAGGTAGATTGTGTATGCAAAAAAGTGTCGTTGATAGAAATTAGAAATATACAGTATAATACAACAAGTTACAGGAAAACAGCCACCCAGCGCGGAGCAGCCAGCACCCGATGGGTACTTGAGTAGAAAACGGGCTGCTTACTAAACACCCCGACGGGGATTTCGATCCCTCCTCCCTCGAGGGCGAGAGCTTCACCCATTTCCGAGTAGATATTCCTTAAATGGAGTAGCTCCTAGACCGTGCTGAACTTGAAAAAAAAAATTCTGTTCACAACCCAAACGGGACTCCAGAAAAGCTCCAACTTACTCGAGCACCCGAGTATTCAAACAAGAATTGATGATGTTGGCACAATAGTGTACTGCAAAAATAATAATAATCGGATGCAGATTGCTACCCACCAAGTGTTGAAACCACCCTTTTCCTCCATAAGAGAATCTAAATCCCATCCACTTTTAGACTTTTCCCAGACTTTTTAGTATTTGAGTCTTATTAAGAGTGTCCACTTGAGCTTCCTCTAGACTACCAGCTCCCCCAGCTGTTCAATCAGTTGGAAGCCTGGACGGGAGATTGCTCTAGGCTTCTTAAATTCTCCTTGATAAGGTATCCATTTTTTTTATATCTATATAGATATGTTAGCAATTCCCAAGTCAAGTAGATCATGCAAATCGAAAGGCACCAATGAAGCACTCACAGTTCCGCCCCCTCTGATGGCCCACAAGTACAGTCGCACCTCGCGGGATAGAATATCAAGAGTTCAGGATTTTTTATTCGCTATGGTGAGGTGCGACTATACCACTCCAATCTGCATCTAACCATCCCTAAACTCCTTCCGTCCTCCTGGTACTTGTACACAGTTCAATATCTCCAATATTCCGGCCAATTGTCAATACTAAAAAAAACCCCTCCTAACGACGAGTCAATTTCCTGCCCTGCATGATCTGTTAGAAAATTGTCCTCTGGGTGGAAGACACAGGGCTCAATTGATCCATCAGTCACGTTTTGGGGGGTTGGTCTCCCCAAGTCTGCTTCCCCCGTTAGTCCTGTTCATACTTGAATACTTCATTGCCATGTTCGTAAAGCCTCAGGGGCATTGGATTCTCGCATAAATCCTGGGAGAGCAAAACATCGCTATGCGGGCGGACCAAACCAGATCATTATGTAATGGAAAAGGGTATTGCTTGAGAGTTGCATGGTTGAGGAGACATTGTTGCTTCTCGAGCAAGCAGGGGCGAATCCCCCTTACTTATACTTTACCTTGGCTGCGTCAGGGATAATTTACCAGTAGATCGGGATGTCATAATATATATAGAACACAAACACCCAGATCAATGCTGCTTGTACCGGAAGCTATAATTATCTTGGTCCGACTGGATGATTCCGGGCAGCTGCACCTACCCCAAAACCTTCGATAGAAAAAGGGTTCGAAGGCCGTAACCCTACAGAAACCAAGAATAAACCCGCAGAAATATCCCTGGGATAAAGGTACTGTATGATAAGCTTTGCACGACCGTATCATACTGCACCCAAGTGTCCAGTATCCCATGGTGTGCCATGTCGGATCATCCAATTGTCCAAAAAAACGGTGCAGTCGTAAAATGTAAGGGCACCCAGATTCCTTGCATACCTCGAGAAGGTATCCTGTCCGGGGTTCCCACCCCTACCGCTACAAACCCCTCACCTCTAGAGAAGAAAATAGGGATCTAAACTAACGAACTTACTCAACTTCACCACCTAAATCCCAACAACCTCATCGGGTGCCCACCCCGAAAGACACCTCGGGAAACAGCAATGCTGAAACAGACCCACCTACAGTACGCCTCCCAAGAAACTTTCCAAACACGGCCCACTATGGCTTGATATTCTACCCTCGCCAGAGCCACCCCACACTCGCACAAGCCCATCCACCCAAGCGGAAAAACCTGCGCAAGCATAAGCCAACAGGACGGGGTCGTGGGGTTCGGGGAAGGAGGGGGGGGGGCAAACACTAGCACCAGACAAGTTAACGAGCTGTGGGATATACCTTATCTAGGGCTATAACTTGAATCCCTACGTCAGTTTTTGGGTCTTCAATACTGATTCAAATTAGTGGAAGCCCTCTGATACGGCACACTGTGTGGCATGCTGTATGCTGGCAATGAGGTGGATGTTTCCGCTGCCGTATCGAGAGGTGGTTACCCCCTCTAATGGATCTTTTGTGGGGAACTTGAATGTGATATTGATCTGAATTATTGACCCGAACATCAGCCACTGCATACCCATTACAGCAATGCTAGGACACTCCCGTGCCCGAAACTCCCTTATGGCATGCACCCTCACAGTAACCTGCACCATAGAACGCCGACAGGATATCACCCACCTCACAAGCCCCAAACCTGAAGAAAGCATTTCCAAATTCGGTCGTGGAGCGGCATGCTAACGAACCAATTTATTCCATGCCTATCAGCCAACTAGGTAATCAATCTCTCGTCCCCCCTTATTCCCTCTTCTCGCCTCTCGGCCAACCTCCCCTAACATCACCTCGCCGCGCGCAAATGCAATACTCAAATAAAACCAACTAATACAAGAGAAGAAAGGTATCCCACCGCCATGAATTCAAAAGCGAAAAGAAACAGAAATGAAAGGAACGAATGACAACATTCAGCTACGGTACTAAAAATATGTAATACTTCAGACAATCCCCACCTTCGTCCATCTGTCAACACCCGCTAGCCCGACTCGAGCTCCTGCAGCAGATGAAACCTATGGAGTATGAAGGGAAGAAACGATGAGAAGCCAGGGGTAAAAAAGTATAGTCCCACTCCGCCAACAGTGCTCCCCAGTCCGATACACCTAGCATAGAAATGAAAGCACGAGTTTTTAAAAAAAAATACGATTTATTCTGAAACGGTGAGAAGGGAGGGGAAAAGCTACACGTCTTGGTACAACAGAAGTGGTTCGCCAACATGCTCGATTTCCGGTATAGTGCATTTGAGATCGAAAGCTTTGGATAGAACAATTTTGAAAATCTAGTATGGACGTCAGCCAGGGTCTGGATAAGGCGAAATGGAGTGCGTGTATAACCTTTTGAACATTGATGCTGTGGCTCGTACTGGAGAAAATCAACGAAGCCTTCATCGCGCGAGCAAACTTCCTTGCCTGTAATACGTTAACACGAGACCGGACCCATGAGCCTGTTATTTCATACCTGCTTGGAGATCTCCTCCTGATCTTCTCGTGGAAAATTGACAAAGTGGTCGTACTTGGTGCCCACCAAGAATGGGATCGCGGTCTGTACCAAGAAATCCTTATCAGCACCAATTCATGCCCAAATCCGCAGAAACAAGCACCTTGTTGAATCCCCTAGCCTGACGATACCACTCCTTGATACTATTTAAAGTGCTCTTCCGTGTAAGATCGAACATAAATAATATCGCCACAGCATCGTTGCATACTAACGGCAGCATATTGACAAACTCTCGCTGACCACCCAGATCCCAGATCGAAAACGTAATCTCCGTGTTACGGATAGATATAGTTTTCTCCATGAAATTCACCCCTATAGCCAACAATAAGCACACCATCACCACCGAGCATCACCACCACCGTGAGCACGGTACCTGAGAGAGGGGGGGAGTCATACCAAGAGTCTGGATGTAATCCTCGTCAAAGCTCCCTTCCACATACTTCACCATGAGTGAAGTCTTCCCAATCTGAGCGTCTCCCACCATGCCAACCTTAATCACCACACTGTTCCGTTTACCCATGTCCACCGCTCCTCCACCTCCGTAGTGTGCCTGGGTTGGCGTGGTCCCGGCCCCATTCTGCTGGTAAGCGAGCGATTGGGGAGGGGGAGGGGGGTTCGGCGGAGGTGATCCGAAGTTACCAACAGCTGCGGGAGCTGGGCCAGAGTGGTGGTGACGAACGGGGGACGGCTGCCTTGGAGGTGGAGAGGGGGGGGGCTGGAGGTAGACTTGAGGTTGGGGTAGTCACCTCCTCGGGATCGTCGGGGTACAAGCTATCGGGCAGCGGAGGAGGGGGCGAGGGGCTGAAGAGAGGCGGGGGGGTGGTGGCCATGATGGATAGATAGGAGATCTGGTGAAGATGTGCTCGTTCGGCTGGAGGAGGAGGGGAGATACGTATGTAGGAGGAGTTAACGAGTAGTTCGACACAAACGGTTGAGCCTCAATCAAGATGACCGACGGGAAAAAGACCGCGCCAACTACTCCCTGTGGAGGTGGAGGTGCAGCAGTCGCGAATTGGAGGTGCAAACCGCGAGGAGAAGCTGTGCCCGGCAAGGGAGAAAAAAAAAGAAGGACCGTCGATATCGATATCTATCTGTAGCCTTGTAGCCTCCGGCCCGGATCGAACCCCTAACTTGATAGACTCCAAGAACAGGAAAAAGGGGAGAGAACGAACGACACCCAACCCCAGGTCTCAGCACGCACACACACAAACACCACACACAACGGGCGGGTGAACGCCTGGGGGGAGGGTGAAATTAGTATAATATCGGGTGTCGTGAAGTCGTTGATCCCTCGTGGGTGGAGGGGCACAATCAAAGAACGGCAATCCGGACTTTCGAGGTTCTTAACGAGACAGGGGCAAGGGCTTCCCTTCCTCTGCCCGCGAGATGAATCAAAGAGTATGTACTGTACAGAGGGACCGAGTCACGTATTCAATTCATCTCAGTTGTCTGTGCAATGCTTATCTACGGTGGCCGGCGGAGGGGTGTACTCATAGACTCATTAATATGATAACTCAGGGAACACGTTGGATGTCAACGGCCCTTACCGTAAATTCTTGGCAACACGTGAGCTTGTCACCATCCCTCACTCGAGTGAAGCTTCAAGTTAAATGAGCTTCTACACCGGAGACCTGACTCATGTACTCGAGTATGATAGCCAGATTGAAGTCGCGCGTCTCTTTTAGCGAGTCACCGCCATAAAGGGGGTGCGATTTCGATCCGGTGATATGAGTACTTGATTTCTTGGCTAAACCAGAAACACTCCTTTAAGCTAGAAACAAGATGGATGGTCTATTCCTGACAAAAAAGCCTGAACTGCACTAGTACGATGGCACTTGTATTGTGGTCGAGCACGTACGAGAAATCAAATCAATCAGAAAAAAAAACTGGACAAACTGGGAATCGAACCCAGGACCTTCTCAAGTTACGCTATGCGAATGAGATATTATACCCCTAAACCATTTGCCCGTTTGGCAATCTTGTCAGCTTAAATAACTATATTGCATAGATCTGGCTTTGTTGTATTCGACGAGCCCGCCGAACTTGGTGGTGGGCGAAACAAACTGCCTCTCGTTTCTCAAAAACTACCGGGCATTTCTTCAGAGAGCACCTCGATCTATCATAAGCCAGTTCGTTAAAGCGAGTTTTTACGGTATTCCCCGGGACCGAGTTTCAAGAAAATCCACCCTCGGTCAGGGCGATTTCATGGCAAAGCATAAATGAGGAAAAAAGGGAGCTAAATATATTGGCGCGATGCAAGTTATGGGTAAGGGAGGACTAATGAATCCTTCACATAAACTCCCTGCATTCACTCTCTATCCAAGCCCACAATTTCGGGCCATTCTCACCACAGCCACTCTCGATATCACTTCTCGGATTACCAAATCTGCCCCAGGGGATGATATATGCGCCGTTGCGCGACCCGTCGACTTGTGGTGATAGGCCAGCGAAAAGCTCCGTTAGGGCACCGTAGTACGGTTCGTAAAGCACCGAGTGCTGTGGATTTGCCACAATTTAGTGGGGGATGGTGAGAGGTGGGGGAATGAGGAGGGGTTATACAATTATCGGGGTTAGGAATCTCCCAGAGATATGCCTTATTAGAGCTGTTCTCAAGTTTCCCGGATTGAGAGAAACGGAGAGGATCCCTGATCCGCTCCATCTCTTAACTGCCTCGGCTCCTAGAATGATGTTCGCCGCTTTACTCTGACCGTATATTTCGGGTTTCAGAGTGAACAGCCTAGGGATGCCCCAGCCGACGTTCTCGAAATTGATGTCGGGCCAGTTGATCCCGCCAGGGGCAGGAGAAGCATTACTTGCGCCAGACGACACCTGCGATTGCTTGTTAATCGGTTGAAAATCAATAAATCGAAGGAATCATATTTACCCAAATAACGCGAACACTATCCTTTGGCGTGCCCGGCAGCGCAGCCGTCTGCTGCATCAACGGAGTAAGAAAGCTCTGGAACAACCACGGGGCTACCACGTTCGTTCCTAATTGCAATTCGTAGCCTTGTTTGGTCTTGGACCCGCTCGGCGGCATCATAACGCCAGCGTTATGCCAAACAACATCTAAGCGACTCTCCTTCGCGAGGAAGGCTTGCGCAGAGTCCTTGATGGTAGACAGATCGTTCAAATCCAAATCCAAGAACTTGAGTCTTCCGTTTGAGTCGGGGACTTCGGATTTGATCCAAGAGATGGCGTCGTCGGCATTTTTCTGATTGCGCCCGGCAAGATAGACGGTAGCAGACTTGCTGTAGAGTATCTATCGCACGGTACTCTGGCGTCAATAGGAATCTCGGGAACAGCAGGATGGTACGCATTCACCTTGCAGAGCTCTTTTCCTACGCCGGAGGCTCCCCCGGTGACGATGTAGACCTTGGGGAAGAGATCCGGGAGGTCTTTTTCTGTGAATGCCGGTGTCGGTGGGAAAATTTGGGAAAGTGCCCGGGTCATGAACTCCATGATTATGTTTAAGGGGGCAGCCGGTTGGTTGGTTGGTTGGTTGGTTGGTTGGTTGTTGAATGGAGAGAATCAGGGGTAAGTGCGATGAGGGCGCTTCGTATTGGGAGGAAGCTTAAAGTAATACTAGAGTTCGTGGTGGATGGTGCCAGGTCTGGAAACGCAATACGGTAGTGGTGCCTCTACGCCGTACTGAGCTCCGGTCACTTCGGCACTGGTACAAGGTGGGAACCCTGATGCTGCTCTTGCCTGTATTATACTCGAGAACGGTACGGTACAAGTAGCCGGTATGGTAGGCCAGCGACCTACGACCCGGATGTTGCCTGCAGCCTCAAACCATCTTAACCAATACGAGTACAATTGACTACCGTAGTGCCTTCACCACCTTCCACATGTGATAACGGACCCCACTAGTTCGACACCTAGCTTACCTAAACTCCTTAGCACTTCTGCCAGAATTGACGACAGTCTTGTTCTGTTGTACGAGTACTGTACTGTATATCCCGGAGTGTCGGTTAATTTCGTAGTGCCTGTGACCATTAGGGGTGCAAGAGCTTACAGCACTCGTACCGATACAGCACAGTACTTGTACCGGTACGAGTAGTAGCGGATTGAGAGGTTACCAACCGTCCCCAAATCTAGGGACACGATCTCGGGCTCAGAACTTGATAAAGGGAAAGCTGTCTTGCTGTGAATAAACAGTCTTTCCAGAAGTCATCCGACTACCCATCTATTCATCCAAATATGATAGGACGGACTCCCAAGGGAAAAAAAAACTAGACAAAACACAAGACAGCATTCCCAGAGAAGCTTCTGGCACCTCTAAAGCTGATTGAAAATCACTACCAATTAATAATACCGTTGGGCTTTTCCTTCTCCCGGCATGATATGGTCAAAAAAAATTAAAAAATTTCCCATCTCGGAAGGGGAAAGGATCTATGTTCTTAGCCGCGCGTCTTTCCTTCTCTTCATATCATAGCACATGGTTCAACTACCGTATTTGAGTTTTCAGTGGTATGGGGTTGGTTATCATACTACGATATATTTATGCCATATGGTGCCTTGCACTCAAAAGGAACACCTGGCTCAATGCAACACGTAACGCTCAACCCTATGTGTAATCAGTACTATCCTAAATCCTTTATCTTTGGTGATGGTTTAACTTTAATCTCCAACCATATCACAGATTGAAAACATTAATTTCGATACATGTCAAGTATATACTGTATCATACTTTCCACATTCATAATTATGTCAATAGCTCTTTCCCATTTTCCTGAAAACTGACATTAAATGGAGCAACATCTACCCCCAATATCTGACCCTCTCCCTACACCTGCCACTAGAGTTTCTGCACCCACAGCATGGCAAGTTAACTGCTCACCTGTAACACTATTGAAAAGCAAGTTAATACATCCCGAAAAGATGAAGGATTTAGGGCATCGTACTGATTACATATAAGGTCGAGCATTACGTGTTGCATTGAGCCAGGTGTCCCTCTCATAAGGCTCTGTCCGGACACGAACCGCTTCCGTTCCGTCCACCCATACAAATCGCCTTACGGTTCCGTCAGTGAATGGCCATTTTGTACATAAATTTATGGGGGAACGGAACGGAACGGTCGTGTCCGAATAGACCCAAAGTGCAAGGCGCCATCTCATATTATCATACCGCTCTCTCCTATTGCCATGCCCCCCCATTCATACTACTCAACCCACTAGAAACCATGAACACAAACTAACCACAGAGGTAGTGCGACTGTTTAAGCCCCCGGAGGAACAGTCATGTGATATTGGAGAGTAAAGGGGGCCGGAGACCGGCTCTGGTAAGTAAGTACCGAAAGCAAGGTATCAAAGGAGAGACAGAGATATATATCGAAGAGAGTAAAATTACGAAGCGGGAGACAAAGATCTATAGATCGCTTTCAAGTCCAGGACTCAATGATAACCCCCACTCCGAGCCGGCAACTTCCCGCGATTGTCAGAAACTCTCTATATGCAAAAGATGTTATCCAACAGAGTCCCGAATCCCCTACGATATCTCATTCCACTTCCTTGATAGATGGATAGATGGCTCCAGGGTTTCCCGCATTGAGATCACACATAGCTCTGCATTTTTTTATACTACTACTACTGTAGTTTTTGAGGCCCTAGACGCACAACATCACACCCACCCACCCACGACCCAGCAGCTAAAATTCAATTGACACAATTCACAAAACTCTACCGCTCCATTGAAAAGAAGAAAAAAAAGTTGTTAGTAAAAGAAGAGAACTTACAGCCATCGTTCGATACCGCGGGGTGATTTATCGGCAAGAGTGCAAGTTAAGAGGCCCCGCTAGAAGCACCAATTCAGTACTAGTGCGATAGACACGAGAAATATCAAAGATCCTGGGCAAATACCCCGCGCAGGGAAGACGACTCCAATAATATACGGCATTAAATTGACTATTTCGATACGCTAGATACACCTGACTGGAAGACGGTATCAAGGAATTGTTCAAGAACACTCCCCAAAACCAAAGGTATGCCAGTACCTAATACTACAATAATAGTGCAACAGTCCGACCACAGCCCCGCAGGCACGATGTGGAGGAGCCCCGGTACTTGGTACTTGGCACTTGGGAAGAGAATTGGGGAGGTTTTTCGTCCCGTTTCGCCCCGTTTTTCTCGATTCTTACGTGGCGGTTTAGAGGGTTGTAATTCATAGTATGATAACAGCGCCGGGTTGTCACCCGAGTGATATTTCGTGAATGTTGGTAGGAGGCGTTGGGGTGTCATGATCGCCATGTGGTGGGATAGGCGGGCCCGATGGCCACTCACTCGGCGGGGTGGAGCTCTCGGACTTGCTCTGCTGTGGATGATATAATATCACACGAGTATTTGCTTAACGAGCAATGCCCCGTCTACATGGGGGTGCCTCTACCTTCCCAGTCTATTCACACATACACCACATTTAATCCGCAGCTATATTACACACCCCAACCAAACCTAATAATGCACAACAAGTGGCGCTTCATACTTCTTAAACGGGGACCTACCATAACCCGTATTAATCACATAATTCATCGGGTTGTCCCCCTCCGCCACCGCTGCCACAGCCTTCCATCCCTTCAACTTTCGTTCCCTGCACCCCCGAACCCACTCCTCCCTCCTCCGTAGCCTCTCGGCCAGTATCTCGCTAGTATAGCTATCCTTCTGCTTCTGCCTGAGCGCGCACGCTGCCCGCGCGAGTTTGTCTACGCGGATATTCCCGCGAATGCCTGCGTGAGACTTGACCCACTCGAGGGCAACGTTGATGCCGTGTGTGTGGTAAAGGTCTTTCATCTCTGAACGGCCGCGGAGAGCAAGGTGGCTTCCGGGGCCGGCCGTGGCACGGGCCATCACACCGAGAGCAGCCTGGCTGTCGGCGCATATGGTCAATTTCTTCGCCTTGCGTTCACGAGCTAGGCGACCACCTAGACCTATGGCTTTCCAGATGGCGTATAGCTCCGCGTCATATATCGACATTCTCGTGCCGAGGCCATACATCCTCTTGATTTCGCCCCCTTGGGAGTCGGCCTTGCGCCAGACCGCTGCGCCAGCTTCCAAGCCGTTTTTACTGCCGTCGGTAAAGACGACGACTTCTCTGCCCGCTTCTAAGCGCTCTCTTGTGACCTCTTCGGCGCTGTGGCGCGCCTGCCGGGCAGTAAGCGAGGAGACCAGTGGGATGACCATGGCTGGCGGGCAGTATTGCTTATTAAAGAAGAGGCCGCTTTCCCGCACCGCGGCTGTTGCTTCCCGGGTTTTGAAGAACAGCAGCAGGGAACGGAAGCCACGCTTACTGGAGGCCATCTCTCTGACGTTCCCGATCCACCGAGCGTCCACCACCGTTACGTCTTCGGGGTCCCAGGGATTCTCAGTATACAAATGTTTGATCAAGTCCTTCGCCGCGGCATGCATAAACCCCCGGCAGCGAACGCTGTGAACCACTAGGCCGAAGCCCTTCCGGACGCCCTCGTGTTCGTCGGTATCAGGAGGTGGACCGCTGGAGAGAAGTGATACCCAGGAGGTATTCTTCATGGCGGTGAGTTTTTCCTCCGGGTTTCTGAAGACAACTTCGAACCCGCTGCCCTGCCGCCGGACCCCTACCACCTGAACCCCTTCCAGAGCTTTTTCGCGGGAAGAAGATAGGAGGATCGCCATGTTTATCAATCGAATCGCAGCAAGACCGTCGGAGCTGGTGTCCAACTTTGGCAACAGATTGGGCCTCTCTTCCAATTCCGAAATCCTCGTAGAGCTTTTGGGAACCGTCCCGATCCGCCGTCGAGGTGAGAAACCAATCCTCCGACTCGGGAGTCTGGTCGCGAGATTTGTCAGCCGAGCAATGGAGATCTAAACCCCATCAGCCACCGTGCCCACTCCAGTCCCCATCTCGACGAGCGGGATAGAAAGTACAAACCTGAACCTGCCCTTCCCCAATCCCCACCAATTCCGGCCAATAATCCTCCGCCTCCAGCCCCGCCGACGATTTCCGCCCGGTCCGATTTATCGGCCCCCTTCCCCCTTTATTCTCCACCTCCTCTTTCCCCCCTTTACCCCTCTCGTCAATCACCCGCTTGTCGGCATCAGCCCTGCCATTCAAGCCACCTCTCGGCACTTCCAACGCCTTCCAACGTTAGCCCCCCATCATCCCTCGCATGCCGGCCAAAATCACTCATTCGTGGTGATCATCAAACTTCACCTACCTGCTTGACAGCAACCCTTTTGGCCGAAAGCCTAGAGAGTGCGCCCCTGGAGGCACTGGTGATGGAGATCCGCGGCATTTTACCTGGGTAGGGTTGTGGTGGTAAACCCAGTTTCAGGCCCAGGGAGCAAGAAGGTGGTGATAGGTTGGGATGGGGAGGTTTTTTTTTGGTCTCGTAAGGCTCGGGTGAACTGTAGTGCTTGCACTAGTGGATTGCCAAGAGCTCATGTGATTCCTGATGGACTGATTGATTGATAACGGGAGATGCCGGGCCTAAACGTTACCATCAGGCTGAGGGTTCATGCACCATTGGACGGAGTGGGGTCCAGGCATGCCAGTGATACCTGAGGGAGGACTGTGTGTGAATTGCTGCAGAGAAAGTGGAATGGGGTGAACCGGATTGGACTGGAGAGTGATATTCGCGGAAGTTGAGGGGCCCAATGCTGCACATCATGTTACAAGTGTGGGTAAAATGGAAAGGACCCTCCCTTCCCACAGCGTAGCATCACAGAGTCCATGATAAACTATTCGCAGCAAAGTGTAAATCTCACGACATAACCGGGAGCACAGTCCACCGGCACAGTATCGCGCTGCCCGCCCGTTCTGCCCCTCAGCCGTACGAGTAAATTTCTGTACGAGTGCAACGTCACATGTGCAAGACCCCTCCCCCTCCGGACAAACCACCGCAACCAGACGATGCCGGTAGACTGATAACCCGACAGATGCGGTGGGAACCCAAATCCCATCCTGGTGCAACCCCACCACCCTCCCATACGGTATCCAATTCAGAAGGACCGGAAACCCGAGTGAGCCCTTGTGACGACGCGTCTGTCTTACCTAACCCGCAATGCCGGTAACCGACCCAACAAGCGCATTCGACGCCAAAAAAGGCCAAACCCTTCCTCTCCTCAACTCCAGCCTACCGTATCGTACTCGTGGCAGCTCATCCTACGGAATTGTAACCAACCAACCCGCTCGCCCACGACAGGACGAGCCATCATACCACCCCAGATCAAAAACTCCTCAACCCACCGCCACCTAGAGGAGAGGGGAGAAACAGAAACAAAACAAAAAACCCTCTGATCAAAATGTCCCAGGACACCACCCTACGCTCGGAGGTGAACCGCCGCCTTCTAGAATCTGGGGAGCTCGAACGGTTCACTTCACCCTTCCTCCCCACCCCCGCTTCCCTCCGCTGACCGCCTCGCAGCTTGGAAGCTCTCTTCCTGGACCTCCTGAGAGAATCCGGCTGGTACGAGAACACGAAGAATATGTGCACGGAGAAGCTGCGCAGCGGAGGGCTGGCCGGTGGTGGCGGATTCAATCGACTCACGGAGGAGGTGGAGCGGGAGTGTCGGGAGAGGGTGCCCGAGGGGGTTAGGCTCGAGATGGTTATGGCTATCAAGAAGGTCTTGGAGGGGATGGTTGAGGGGTGAATGATGATGAGGAATTTTGATTTTTTTCCGGGTGGGTGGGTGGAGTTATGATAATGATCGGGGGGTTCTCTCTCTCTCTTCTTTTTTTTTTTCTTTTCAATTCTCATTTCTTTTCGTCAACTTGTTAATATGCTCCCGAATAAGGTTTTCACAGGCGGGAAAGATTGGTTAGTCTTTGTTTCTAGGTGACTAAAGTAGTTTGTATGGTACGGTACGAGCATCGGTACAGCACACAGCTACCGTATCAGAAAGCTCTTTGAAAACTTCCATCCATATCTCCTCTCCCTACACCCTACGGTACCGGTAGACTAGATCACAACCACAGTGCAACTCAACGACAACGTAAATGAAAAATGAAAAGAAAAAAAAAACTTTCCCTTGAACCCTCCTGCCCAGTTCCCAAGTCCAACGCGATCAAACCCGCACACGGACCTCCATCAAGTGCAAAATCTATAAATATCACATGATACCACCACAAACCTACCTGAAATTCCCACCAGCCCACGCCAAAGCTCCAGCTTCATGCTTCGAGCATCGACCTTCGAGCTACTAGTATCATAACAACAAAGCACAACACTACGCCTGATCCTTTCTAGAAGCTCTACGGAAGCCTCCAGGACACGGTATCGCATCATACGCGTCCGCAGGGTACACTACTCAGCGACACGCCCGTCAGCCAAAAGTGTATATTTCATCATTCATGCCAGTGCGTGAGCGCCCCGCTAAGCTTCCGGCCATAATCTTCGTGCGGGGGGGCCTAGAGATCCCGGAGGATTTGGAGTATGATATGTATATGTATATGGTGCTAGTACAGCTGAGGAAGGGATAGAGTCGGGCAAGTACCGTAAGCTTGTGAGCTAGAATTGCGCTGTGTTCTTGGACACGGGTATCATCATACTCGTGCGGGCATGACATGTACGGGTACAGTAGAAAACCCGATCAATACTTGGGGTAAGATTAAATGTCCGTGAATGGTGACCTATGGCATCACGGGTTCACGATGAAAATTGCAAATCCCCTCTTACGGATATTTAATCTCACCCCAAGTACGGACAATTACCAGTATTATTATATACTGTATCATACTCAGTTCCGTACCATAATATTATGATACAGGAAAATGAAAACCGTTTTTTTTTTCTTTTCCCCCTTCCCCCCCGCCCAGGAAACCTGCATGAAATGCCATCCCGCAGCGAGCAACGGCGTATGATACAGTTTACTGTGCTGTGCTGTGCTGTGCTGTACAAGTACTGTACTCGTGCACAACACAGCGGCTACCGGCAGATATTATCGTAACATTCCCCACGGATCTGAAAAGCAAAGGTCCACGTGTTTGTGCTCGCTTCCCTACGGCAGTGTACATGTACTGTACATGTACTGTGCTGTACTCGTACGGTGCAGTGCTGTAGAGGTGCCGTACCGGTACTTCCAGGAACCGTCGTATACATAAAATGCCGTAATTAGCGACTCACGGGGGTACTGTACGAGAGAAAGGAGGAAAAAGTGCGCATTGCTATTGCTGTTGCTGTTGCTGTGTTGCGCTTCCGGCCCGATCGCTTCGGCTTCATTACGTGGGATACGATTCCGTAAATTAACTCCGCGCGCACGGACACCACTCACCCGCAGACGGCGCTGGCGCAATCTTGCTCGCCTCGTCGGAAATCTGCTCGAGTAGCCGCCGTGGAGTGGAAGGGATCTGGACTACAGTATGAGGTCGCATGGTATGATGCTGTTGCTGTCGTCAACAGGGATCCGCAATGTGCGCCATCGTAACCGGAATCTTGCTTCGGGGGGGGGGGGGGAGAGAATGCAGGGACGATGGAAATCTACGGTACGGGTACTGTACTCGGGTGAAAAAACCGGAAAAAAAAAACAGCAAGATCCTGTGGGCGGACAGTTGGTGAGGATGGAAAAGTAGTGATGTTCGGTGGATGTGGATAATAACCCAGAGTGGATTTTAGATACATTTTCTCACTCCTATGATAATGATTCATAATCTGTTATATTCTAGCCTAGTAGTTGGCAGTTGGAAATTGCCACTCAGTACCGTACTCGTACAAACTACTCGTACTTGCACCTCCGAGTTTTCAGGGGAAGGTAGACAACTACGGTAATGCAACTAGTCTAGGTTTCTGATTGCTACAATCAAAGGTTTCTTTACACAACCTTTTTATCTGTTGATCGGCATAATCCCTACTTCGCTACCACAAGGTTTTCCCATTTCTTCATCCCTCCCCGAGTATGGTATGGTAGCGGAAACAGGGATTCATACAAGGAGTGTGGTTACGGGAATGGTCAAGAGTGAAGAGTTTGAAGGGAAAGAAAAGGCAGATGGTAATAGGGAAGGTGTGAACCCGGAGCGGTTGCAGGTCTCCTCGGGGGGCTCATTAGCATACGGGATGCAAAGGGTTACCGGCATTGTGTTATTTGCAGGTGTGATATCATAATTATGATACACACATGGGGGAGGGATCTACCAAGAGTCACGATTCGTTCTCCAAGCCCTGGTCCCGGATTTTTGCCGACTCGGGGGTGCCGATCTTGGCCGATTATTTACTTTTACCTGTATGGGCTAACTGATCGACTTCCTCACGACGACGGGGTTTTGGCGAATGCCCGATCCTCACTACCACCTCCGAGCGAGCAAGAGAAGCTGTTCGCGAGGCCACCGGTATGTATGGTGCTCAGGGGAGGGCATTACTTGTATATACAATCGAAGAAAGCTTGGCCAGCTGCGAGAGGGGAGGCGAGGCGAGGCGAGGGGGGTTTGAGCTTGATTCGACTCGACCCGACTTAAGCGCCGGCGCAGGTACGGCACAGCACGTTTTGGAAACCTGGACGTCGGGACGGGGTGGATCAGGCACCGTTTTCTTTCTTTTTTCTCTTCTCCGTTTGTTTGTTTGTCCGGGTATCGCACAGCGTTTGTCTGGTGCTGTGTGTGTGGGAGCGGGACGAGTATGATACTGTGTGGGAGAGTTTGACCGGTGTAAAGGTATGCACCTTGGTACTCGTACTCGTACATCGCTACATAACCCTCTGTCCTCTCCTCCTCACAACGCACGACGCGCTACTGTACCGCAGCGCCGAGCACGGTGCCAGCGCCGGTGCCGCACGAGTATTGTACCGTACCGCGGAGCTGAGCAGGAAGGAAGCCGGCCAGAACTCCTCGGTCAGCCCTCGTGCCGTACCTGAAAAAACGACTCCTACGCGAACGTTCCAGAATGCCCGCCCACCCACACCCAGCAAGCCATCTCCGGGGAGCAAGCGAGCGAGGTGTTACAATGCGATAACCATGCTAACCCGTTGCGGGGTCGAGCGGTCTATCGATTGACTTCTGCCGGTGCTAGCGAGGCCAAGACGGAGCTTCCTTTCAACCTCACTGGATGGTATTCGTACCGTGTCATTTTGTCATTATGCTGGCTTAGATTAATACCGCTGCTGGGTTTGCTGGTGATGCCGGCATGGTGCCGTGGGAGAGGAGGCCCGGGGCCTGGGTGAGGATGACCCTCGAGTCCGATCCTGAGAAATCCATTGCGCGTGTTGGGCACCGTGGAGTGGCATGGCATGGTGTGGCATGACGGACGCGGATTCGAAACGGATGCCAGATTGTGGATATATATATATATACATATATACACACTGTAACTGTGCTCTGCACTTTGCAGCCCTTCTCTCCCCCCTCTTTTCCTTGGAGGCGGAGTGAGGGTGAGAGTGAGATCACCAAGTCGTGGATGACACGGTGGGCCACGGTTCGAGTACTGAGTACTCTGACCCCCCTCTCTACTCGTAAGCGCCTGCAGTACATGGCGTGTTGCCAAGCGATGCAGGGATGCAGTGACGGACGGAAAAGTCGCCAATCGGCGATTGTCCGTTAGTTTGATGGCTGCTAGCGAGGGCCAATGGGCGAGTGCGATGGGTCGGTCGTCGTCAGTCACTATGTTGGCTTGGCGAGTGATATTGGGTGGGGGGGAGGAGAGGGTGTGAGGTGAGAGTGAAGTGGGAAGAGAAGTACTCGTACTTGTACCGGTATGTCTCTCCTCCCCCCCCCCTTTTCCTTCGCTTCCACGGCATTTGGGTGCGGTGGGAGTGCAGTACGGGATGGAATCTGGGATCTGCTGTACCAGCACGGTAGGCGGCGCAGCGTATGAATGTGTAGGATGCGGTGGGTTCGTCTGAAATGATGGGAGACTGTTCCTGTTGGTTTTCTGCTACAGGTGCCGGTAGGACATTGCACCGGCACTGTTGGTCACTGGAAGCACTCGATATGTACGAGTACTCGAGTAGGGAGTGTGTGAGTATCGGCTTCCACGCATCTAGCCGCTGCCCGCCCGATGAGGCAGGGTGCACCCTCCTCCTTCACCTCCTCCTCCACCCCCGATATTCAACGCTTCACACATCCGATTCCCATGCACGACTCGCTCGCAGCTCTTTGCCACTCCACCCCCCCCTCCCATCGACCCGTTATATCATACCTGTGCTCTCCTTTCCTCGCCCATTCCCCACAAAGCTAGCTGGGCGCCTACATGGACCAGATTTTGCGGAGCCCAGAGATCAATCTCATCCACTCGAGGACCGATCGTCGCAGGAAGCACAGCCCTTTCCAACCCTTCGGAAAAGCAAAGGAAGGGAGAGAAGGGGCAGGAAGGAAAGACACAGCTAGAGAAAAATAAAATAAAGAATAAAAGAGATAAACCTCCCATCCTTTCCCTATCCTGTTGGATCAATAGAAGGTCCTCGCGCCCCTGTCCAAAGTATTTCATCTGTTATTTTTTTTCCTCGCCCATCCTTTCCTTTCCTCCTTCCCTGCTTTCCCTTCCTCTTCCTTTCCCTTCCAACAAAGCTCCCGCATATATCACTGTTATCCACCCCCGATCACGGGCTATTACTTGGAAGGAAGGAAGGGAGAAAATCCAACACTCTTTTCTTCCGTCTCATTCACTCGTTCAGCCCTTTCCTCTTTTTTTTTTTTTTCCCCCACCGTTCGTACGTACTAGTACAGGTACTGTGCCCAGCACCACACACCCTCGTTGACTCGCTTTTTGTCTTCCCCCCGCTCCTTCCCTTCGCCCTTCCCCTTCCCGCTGTCTTCTCGCTCTCCTTACTTCTAAACATTTACTCGTACATCTTCCCTGTGCGCCACCCCGGATATCACATTTATCACACTCTTTTTGCTCCCCCCCCCCCCCCCCCGACGGAGGAAAGAGAAATATTATAATTCCGATACTTAAGACCTAGATCGGTCCCGTTTTTAAACCTACGATGGCCCAAAGACCTTACTCGACCCTTCACTCCCCCGACGACGTGCACAGGTTTAATCAAGCCCAGGCCTCACAGTACAGTCTGCACACACCCACGGACGTAGTATCCCCGCATTCATTCCGCGCATCGCCGCCGCCGCCGCAGCAGCAGCAGCAGCGGCAACAGTCGCATCATCCGTACGCAATGGATACGGCGGAGTACCAATTAACGGACTACCCGCCTCAACCGCAGCAGCAGCAGCAGCAGCAGCGGTCGGAACAGCAGCAACCATACGTAGCATTCCCCACATCACCTACAGGTCCACGTTTTAGCTCTCCACCACCCGCCTTCGACAGCCAATACCCGGACCCGCGAACACACGCATCACCACCGACCTCACCATCGTTCGCTCCCCCACCAACTTCGCCAACGTTCGCTCCCCCACCAACTTCGCCAACGTTCGCTCCTCCACCGACTTCACCAACGTTCGCCCCTCCACCAACATCAGAGTCCGTGCACCCGGTGCCCACGACACTGGATGGTCCCGTCCCGATACCCCCGGACCCGATACAAGCCCCGACGTACAACCCCTCGCACGACACCCCGCACACACCGAAAACCCCGATATACACTCCGGGCGGTGGCAGCGGACCAAACGGGGGCGTCCACGCGCCCGGACAAATCGGCCATCCGAACCAGCAGCATGGCCGAGAGGAATACCACCACGGCCTCTGCGACTGCTTCAGTGACTTTTCAACCTGTATGCCCCCACTTCCCCTGTCCGCGCACATATGGATAGCAAGGGATTAACAAAGATTGATCCAGGTTGTGTCGGTTACTGGTGTCCCTGCATCCTCTACTCCCGCACCCACCATCGCATAAAAACGATTCCGAATTCAAACCTGAATGACTTTCACAATTGCAACGGGCACTGCATAACATTTTGCCTGCTCGGACCAATTTCTTGTAATTCTCCCCTCCCCATCTCCCTCCGCCCCTTCAGTTCGAGCTAATGATCAAAAGCAGGGATCTTCACCACTCTGCAGCGAACGCGCATTCGTGACAAGTACCGACTTGAGGGCTCACTGGCTAGCGACTGCGGGAAGGCGTATTGCTGCGTCATGTGCACGTTGGTCCAAGACGAGCGGGAGGTGCGCGATCGGGAGGATGAGAGGAGGAGGTTTGCTGGGCCCGGTAGCGGTGTTGTGGGGGATGGGGGATATAGGAGGCAAGAGACTATGGTTTATGGGAGAAGTTAGTTGTTTGTTCGCTTCCTTCTTTTTTTCCCATTTTTTCCCCATTTTCTTCTTCGAGGGGTTTGCATTGGTAATGGGGTATTTTAGTGTTGCTTGTGTTTTTAGCGTCTCTTTCTTTCCTGGTTGCTCTGGTCGGTTTTGGTCTTTTCCCATTCCCCTTTCCTTTTTTTTTCCTCTTCATCACTCTGTCCTATTCTTCTTCGGTCTTTATATACACTGTGCGGGTTGATTGGTGGGTCGGTACAGTACGATACGATAGGTTGGGGTTTAATGTATTTATTCACTCCAGGTTTGGAGAGGGGAAGAATGGATATGAATAAAATGCGTTTGCAATTCTTGCTTGTACTGTGCTCGAGTACAGTACAAGTGTCCAGCAATTGCCACGGCATCCGAAATACCCCCCCGTTTCAACCACCCAACCGACCAGCTAATTACGGTAGCCGAGAAAATCCCATGCCATGCCGTGCCATTCCCAGACACGGTACCCCAGTTTACACCCGACAAAGGTAGAGCACTGTACGTAGAGTATAGTACAAGCACAAATGCGGTGCGCACAGCAATCCACCGGCACATAGCAGAGTATATCAGACCCGCCCCCCCCCCCGCCCTCACTCGCGCACCTCTCCTATCCTACCTCGCACACTACGCACGGAAAATGCTGAAGAAAATTTAAGCCCGACACAACAACCCACAGATGCAGACAAATGTTCTAGACACCTTACTACACAGCACAGTATGATACAGTACTCCACGAGTAAACATGGGGGGGGAGGGGGAAAAAGAAGCAGCGAGAGGAGTGTGGGGGACATGTAACGTAAGCCGCCATTCCCCTCCTTCCTTCCTTCCTTCCTTCCTATCCATCACTAGTACCGTACTCTACTGGTAGGTAGTATTTTACCCCCCCGGCTGGTAGTACGCTACGCTACTGTAAAAGTATAATACAGTCTCATAATTTACTCATAATATAGTGGTTTTGTGCTACTGCGCTGTATGTACTTGTACCACGCTGCGCTGAACTTGAAGAGGATGGTGCTGTCTTGTGGTTGTGGGTTTTCACGTGATTATCTTGTGGTTTTTGTATAGTACCGGTAACTTAGGTTACGTAATTGGTTTTTGGGTTGTGTGTGATAGATAGATACGGTACTGTACTGTAGTCTACTCGAGCGATCGGATTAACTTATGCTTGTGCTTGGATGGGTTGATTGGTTGGTTGATAGGGTGGTGTACGAGTACAGTACGGCTGTCTTGGACGTGCGGTTGTGGTCGTCATACCTATCTATCTATCTACCCTAGAGTTATCAGAGGAAGATACTTGTATTATGCTCGTAGGGCTGTGATTACTATGATACTGGTATCACTCATGTGTGTATCATACGTATGTGTCTATGTGTGGGACTCAGCGTATCATAGCAAAATGGCCGCTTCTGGCCATGGATAGTAATATCATACTGGTACCGTATTACGTGAGGGAGGAATATATACTGTGCTAGTACTAGTATGATACCCTATGATGTAATGAAGGACGTTGTATATTTTACTAATTACTTTCCTCCTCTTTCCCTGTTCTCCCCCACCACTCCGGAGTGTCGCGTCGTGACTGGTGTAGGTGTTTTGTTTTTATACTGTACTGTACTGGCTTTAGTCTACTCTTGCACACATACATACATATATTATACCCGCTAGAACGAAAAGGACGAGAAGATGGATAGTGTTCTCCCTTCTCCTTTGACTCCTCCCCCCCACCCCGACAAATTTACTAATCGAACGATGGTCGTTATTTTATACCTTCGTACTACTCCTCCTGAGTGAATACCATCTCATCCACTAGAGAACATACTAGAATGTTTTTTTTTAAATTTTTTAAAATTTGTCCAGTTACCACCTCTGCCATACCCACCCCCCCACGAACCAACCAACCAACCAATTGATACAGTTGTCAAGGAGGAGGAGGAAGAGGAAGAGGAGGAAGGAAGGAACTCTCAAAACCTCCACAATTATAAGTACGATACAGACCGACAAACAAATTATAGAAAATCATCTATATACGATATGATCCAACTTATAACAATTGCAAAGCACGTCACAATTTTTATACAGAACAACCATAATTGTAATACTGGTAGGTTTCTAACTTGTATTTTTCATCGATATTACTGTCTGCCTGACAATTGCTCTGAAGATAGATAGAGGTGAGTGTTATTAGAGTGCATATACTACCGATTTGATTTGATTGGCCTGAATACCAGGAAGCTTGAAAGGGACTTGTCAGTGGCAAAGTAGTGGTACAAGTGCTCTGTACTAGTAAACTATGGGTGGGTAGCGCTTCTGGTATGATTACCGGGTTTGTCATCTGAGTACATGTTTGTCCCAAGTATGGTACTCGAGTGGCCTTCTTCTGTTCGTAGAGGAACCTGGAACATCGGTACTTGTATCATACAAGTTGTGCTACTATACACAGTTGTCTATCTCTTACTGGGAATCCTCTTGGTTCTCTATGATGGGTATAGACACAGGTCACCATAACTCATATATACATAGGATCATTACAAAAAAATAGAGGATACAATAAGTGGTTTATATCTACTCTTTTTTTTTTTAGAGGCACCTTACAAAGCTTCCATCTATTATTCAAGTTCCAAACTATCAAGACTTACCTACGATACCCATCCGGAAACCAACTCGAATACCCCATTCCCATTTTCATAACCCGATAATTGCTGGTAAAAGGATGGCTCTCCTGGCCAAGCCAAGCCGGGAGGAGTAGTGAGAGATTCAAAATGGTTATCAGTGATTTTAGTGTCAGGGGGGGGGGGGGTGGCAACGTGAGTATTATAATAATATTATTATGAAGGAATACAGAGATCGGTGCTTACTCAAGTCACACCCCCCCCTCCTCCACTTCCGGAGCATCGGCCTATGATACATAGGTTGGACCAATAATCCCCACACCGCCACCACCGCATCCTCCGTAATCTTCCTCCTGGCATAGTGGCAGAATCCGAACACGCTTTCTCTAACACCTAACGTAAAGCCCAACCGCGCATTGCATAAAGTGAGAATATTGTATTCCGCTAGTGTACCGTACGATACAATTTTTTTTTTTCCTTTTCAAAAGATTGTCGGGTCGTGCGTCTTTACTGTACTAGTACTCCGGTGTCGTCACCGTCATGGCGGATTTCTACTACCAACTTAGCCATCTATCCATCCATCTACTGTATAGAAATGCACCCAGCAGTCGGTCAAGTGGGGGTCTACCCGACAGCTATATTCTTGGGTATGTTATCCTATCCGTAGCAGTCTACGGTATGTACGGCACGTGCAAAGTCGGTTTGTCGGGCTTTTACTTTGTATTGGTATGATACTGTACATGAGTTACTATCGTATCAAAGATGGGTACGGAGTGGGGGGGTAGCTTACGCAGAAAAAGGGGAGGGGGAGGGAGCGTGTGAAGGGGAGGGGAAGGGGGGACTATTCACGGATCGGACCAAATATATGATACTACACTCGATTAGTATCATACCTTTTCATTCCCCGGGCTTTTTTTTCCCGAATACATAAGCACCCCATCATACCCTTTCTCCCGCACCAAACTTACACAGTATGCCACCCGTTTGTCTCCCCCTCGTCGTCGCCAACTTCCCATGTCATGCCAAAAAGGGTATGATATCATTAAAGAGGAGCTCGGACATCCCCCCTTCACTCCATCTTGTGAAGCCAACAAATCATGACATATCACTCGAATACCTCCAGTTGCGAACACGATTCTTTCAAGACTTCAAACCTTATATATTCACCTAACCTAGACAGACACTCCGGATTGTCCCAGACATTTACACGTACAACCCGGTAACGAAAAGGAGAGGGGAGAAAGGAAGAAATCCACCCATCCATCCCGGAACCCTCATTGGCTCCCTTCATACACCATCTTCCAACGTCACCACACCCGCTCAGCAGACTCCTTATCCTGCCCTGCACTGCCCTGTCGTTCCCCGCCAATAAAATTCTCACACAGGAAAAAATTAAAAAAGGGGCTAATAATATTCATCATCTTTGCCATGGGAACAGCACAACAGTGCACGCAAAATGACGGGAGGGGAGTACTAGTAGGTAATCGTAGAACGACCTCAAGTTCAAAGCAAGTGTCAAAGTGAATAATATAGTGGAATAAAGTAGAATCGGGTAAAAAGATACTTTGGAAGAAAAAAATCACCAAGCCGACACCCATTCCCCCCGAACACTCTTTGACCCATCCATTTAGCTCGGTTCGGGAGGGTCGCGAATAATGAAGGAGGGAGAAAATGAAAAAGAAAGAAAGATACAAGACAGAACAAAGCAAAATCCAACCAGTCCCGAGAACTAATAACAGATGGAAGAGATGAAATAAAAAGCGAAAATAAGAATTCCGTACATAGACAACGAAAAATAATATATAAAATGGATCAAATTTCGGTGCCCGGGTAGAAGAGAATGATAAAAACATAAGAAATGGATCGGGAGAGAGGTATGAAATGGAACGGTAGGAAGTTAAATTTCACAGCTCCCGTGCATACCCGCGTCCCCCCGCCCCGTCCTAGTGAAGTGCTGGGCATACTCCACATGTTTTTTTTTTGTTTGCTTTCTTCATTTGTGGTTGTGAGGCGAGGAGAAGGGTTTATAATACTCCACCGGGTAATGTGATGCCGCCCTCTCGGCCACCATAAACACTTGCTCCACTGCCCCCTATACCGCCGCTGGATGCACCCCCACCGTCCGAACCGCCACCGCCAGTATCATAGTTGCCGTTCCGCCTTAGCATAAACATGGGCTTCCTTCCTTCTCTATCCAGCTGCTTGAACAATATGAGTGGTTTCTCCTCGAGACCCAGACACCTTTCCTGGTCGCCGTGGACGATGTAAAGTGCATACTGCTTCCAGTTCGCTTGGATGTTGTACCGTTTGAGGGCTGCAGGTAAAACCTTGTAACAGGGATCTTCCATAGATACCCGAAACGATTTAAAAATCTCAACCGATGATGACGAATTGCCGCCTGGTGTCGATAGCGGGTTGGGTTCTTCATGGCCAGATCGAGGCGGGCGAGTTCGAGGTGGCTGGCCGTCGGTGGGTCTATGAGTAGCTGTGGGCGCGTTGATAGCACCCAGGGTGGAGTTATGCGGAGGGTTACCCACGCCAGTCCCAGGAACATGATATATTGTTGACGGTGATGTTGGTGAGGGAATGTTGCCAGGTGACTGAGAATTGTGCAAGTTTGTTATCGTAGCATTCCCGTTCGTCGCGGTCGGCGGTGGCTCGTACTCGGGATGTGTGGAATGTGTGGGTGATGGGTTCTTGGGTGTTCCAAGGATGAGTTTCTTCATCGAAAACTTTCTTGACAAGCCCCTCCCCACGGACGGCGTGGGCTGTAGGCTTGAAGACGCATTACTATTAAAGGGAGGGTCCTGTACCTGATCCCTTTCCCGATCTCTCTCTTCTCGATCCCTGTCCCGGTCCCGTTTATCGCGTTCCCTTCTATCTGTATCCCGTTCCCGGGGCTGAGGAGGTTCAGGCGTATATCCAGTAGGCGTGCCCAATCCTTGTGGTGTGGGTAATGCCTGATTCTTGTCTTTGAGCAACCGCCATACTGGAAGAAGTTCCTCCCTCAATTTTATAATCCCCTTTTGCAGCTCCCTCAACTCGCCCTCGGTTTGCGAAATTCTCTCATCCCTCTGCCTTATTATTCCAATTAATCGTTGAATGTCGTACTGCGTAGCAGACTTTTCGGTATCTTCGACGTCGGCGGCTGCACATACACACAAAAACAAAACAACACAATCCACCAATCAGCGCTACACACAAAGGGGCGGGGGGCTCAACAAGTATCGGAGCAAAAAATGAAGCTCGGACCGAAAGGGAAGGAGCAACTTACAGACTGGTACATAATCACCGGTGTCGATGGGAACACCATGAGCAATCTTGATATTGTAGACATTTTTTAGGATGGTAAGCCTATGTCCGACACTTTGCACACCAACGTCCCGTAGCTCTTCGTGATCGAGATGGACCAGGGCCTGGCCATCGATTTCATTATCTGCGTGGGCCGTCAGTCGCCATCCACGCTTCCAACCCAGTATCACAATTCTTGCGGCTCATCGTACCCCATCTCAGGAGGTCTGGAAAGGGAAGGGATGAAAGGGCTTACCGAGAAACGAATCGCCGTACTGACCCAACCCGAGTGAGCGTATGTAACCGGCAACATCTTCCACGTCCCATTCCAGGATATGGCGATCGCTCATATCCCTATTCTCCATTTCGTGGTAATGAGGCTGATGGAACGTGGGGGTATGTTGATCTCCGTCCCTGGATGGAATGTCAGAGTCGGTGGGGGAGGAGGGCTGTTGATGATGACTTGGAGACGGCATCCCTGACTCCTGTACCGATGGGAACTGAGGGGGAGTTGCAGTCAACTGCGAACGGTGGTAAGGAGAGTCGATGCTAGGCGGAGGAGGGGCTGCCGGGCCGGGGGATTGAAGCTTGGAGGCCCCAAGGTTAGTAGGAGATGCGATGGGAGAATAGCCAACTGCTTCCCAAAGCTGGGATTGGTCCTCGTATGGACGCGAGAGGCGGGCTTTCGGCTTTTGTTGATCCACCTTGGGTGTTCGTCGGTTGGGTTGTTGTTAGGAAGTGGTCCGGGCTGTCATTCAAAAGCAGGGTAAGGCCGCGTTGCAGGAGGAAGCAGGGAGACGGGCAGGATAGCGGGCTGGTATCGTAGGTAGGTAAGGGAGAGGCGGTCGCAGATGGGTCCGGTAGGGTCAGTTTGTTGTTGGTGGTGGTTGAGGTAGGGCAGTGTGGTGGTGGTGCTGGTGGTGCTGGTGCTGGTGGTGGGCGAGGGTGGGCAGTGGTTATGGTTTGTGGTGGTGGCGGAGGGAGGCTTGTAGGGAGGGATTCGGTAGGGGGGAATTGGAAGACGTGCGTGCAAAAAATGTGTGGACAACTCTAATAGGCAACAATGCCAAATACCGCACGGGTATTAATGATTCCCGATCCCTCGAATGAACAGGAGTAACCTTCGAACGGGGAAGGAGAGGAACTCGATAGCGGTTATGGAAGGGAAACAATATGTCTGAACAGATCCGGGAAAACGATTATTTCTCATGACACCCTCCCGCCGTCGACGATTTGACGATTTTCCAGACCCGGGGTCTTCGACAGGGGCGGCGATCGTGATGGGGGGGGGGAAGGGAAGGGTGTGGCTCCTGCTCCTTCCTGGCTGCTGGCAACTGGCACTGGCCCACTGGTGCACTGGTCTCATGCCGCTTCTTCGAGCGCCGAGAGTGTGGACCATTTCTCTCTTTTGGGACGGGGAGAGATCATTTTTGGACTCGTGATGGGCAAAACTCGCGCCAAGCCCACAAGAATTGCTCGAGTGACACCAACCAATTTCCTTCGGGGAGGGACATGGTTGAAGAAGCCTCCCATCGGGATTCAGGAGGAAAAGCATTCTTCCGCGAACAACGGTGGAAGTACGCGGTAAACTGAAGTCAGGTACTGGTCCGGAACATATGCACGCTTCCTCCTCAATCCGAGGCTACCTATCAATCAGCTAGAAAAACAAAAAAACATCATAATCATCACACTCACTCTCCTGCTCATGAACCGGCACCAGACTACGGTATCTGCTATCGTCCTGCCGAGTCCCAGGGCCAACCCGCGGGGCTCGCCCAATCCCACCACCACAACGACAACCCTTTCCATCACCACAACCATCATCCCCGCCCCCCATCACCACCAGGCCCATTAAACCAAATTGCTGACTTTACGGGCTATCATACTCGTGCATAATTATATTCGCTACGGGCCTGATGTATCGCATCGGGGGGATATAACTTGCAACGTTTGACGCGGCAATACCTTGCCATACCGGTACTCCAATTTCATCTCCAAACAAGCTTCACCGCCGTTGACGTGCAACTCGCCTGTAAGAGTGCAATTCGGTCCTCATTAATACCTGTATGATACCGGTACCAAGACATGATGAGCCATTTTTAAACACAAACACTTGACCTGGCGGGACCGGATGCTAGCACCAATGACGTCTTTCCAGCATGAACTACTTGTATCACAAAAATCAATGAGCTTTACCCATTCACCTATCCACCCGTCCATCCATCCATCCATCCATCCATCCATCCATGCGGCAAGTATCCATCCACATATCAACATGACCGAAGCAGGATAAAGCGATACAGTATCGTTGGTGATGTTTCTAATTCCATGGAGTAAGAACTCGCATGTAAGCCCAATATATTTCCTGCACCAAGGAAGGTCATGAATTAGTATTACACCGCTAGAGGTGGGGGGGCATCGCGCCCCGAACCACCCACCGAGCTGCGTGACGTCTGGAGGGACGGTCGTTGATTTCCATGGTGGTGACCAACCGGGTTCATGGAATAAAACACCTTTCGGCACAACCGCTCTATCCCCAAAGTGGCTCTCCTCCAGTTCCGGCGGGGCCCTCCCCAACCTTGCATCTGGAACACCATGAATTGCTTCACCATCACCACTCTCTACTCGTACTTGTCCATTCCAAGAGCACCCTACCAGGAAAATAGCGATACTTTTGGAACGTGCAAGTGCGGTGCCGTACTATTCTCTCTCTTTCTCTCTCTCTCTCTCTACTCGAGTCCAGCGCAGTGCGTACAGTACAGTACACCACACATGCAACATGTACCGTACAAGTAGTGTCCTGAAAGGTACTGTACAGCAATAGCCGCGAATACCCATCAAAAAAACTCCCCAAGCCCACCAAAACCCATCACGACAAAAGATCGCACCAAAAAATCCCGCAAGAGTCGCACCAAAAGATCTAGTTCAGGAACCAGGATAAAAAAAAAAGAGGATAGCGACCAATGCAAGGCAAACCCAAGTCTCCCATCCTACCCAGCATACGTACCGTACACACTACGATGTACTTACTCCGCTGTACACGTGCATCTTCACAAAAACCCCGGATCCGCCCCCCCCCCCCCACCCCTTTTCCCAAAACCCAGTTCAATTCGTTTGATTCTGGAGAAGTGTCATATAGCAATGCAATGCTTGTTTCCTCCGTTGATGTACAAACCAGTAAATTAAGCGGAAAGCCGTTGTGGGCATACAGTGAGCAGGACTACCTTTTTATTTATTCCAAAATTTAATGTGGTATCGTGATACTGGCCCTATAAGATAGGCACTTAATGTTAGGCTTTCGAAGCTTGAATTGGAGGCGGAGGAGGAGGAGGGGGGTGTGGTGATTATAGTTGGGTGTTTCGAGTGATAGGTGGTGTTTGTGTAGGACGGGGAGTGGGAGGGAGGGAGGTGAAGAGCGGGAGGAGGGTTTTGTTGTTGCAGTTTCCCTGCGCTGTGCTGTGCTGTGCTGTTCTATGGTAGGTCTGTGATTTTAAGGTGTTTGTCTTGGGTACGGTACTGTACCGTACCGTAATTTTCGGCTGTTGCCGCGTTTAAAGGCTTACAGCTAAGATAGGGCTGCTCTGTTGGGTGCTAGTAACTTATGTATCATACGGGGTCATAATATTTGCTTATGTAACTTGAGTCCTGGAGGACTGGGGTATGAGCGTGGGCGCTCGGCACGAGGGATTCCGGAGGCCTGACCGTTCACTAATAGCCATATCATGGGAAATGGGAGAAATGAATTTGGCAGCGTATGGGAATCACTCGAGCAAGCTGAGATCTTTGATTCTTCCTGTAATCCCTGAGTGTTCCATCTCCCACGTTCGTGGACTAACCGAGCGCTCTCTTGCGAGGGTGGTCACTATTAAACCCCTTACTGTGTGTGTGCATCCTAGGCACCCGCACTCCCAATTGCAACTTGGGCATTTAAATGTTTGGCTTTCAGAGTGTTTAGAGGGAGGGTAAATGGAGGCTTGGCGTTATTTATTGCATTTACTTCCTCAATTTGCCTATCATAACTGAATTTACGACCTGTGAGTCTGCCTGCTGTTGCTTTAGTGTAAATTTGCAAAGCAGTTATTTTCTTACCATCTGTACGAATTTGTATAATCCCTGGGGGGAGAGCTTGATCATGATATGATGGTTGAAGATTCTCCATTCTTGTCATCCTTATGCGGGAAACTGAGAAGAAAAGAGCATGGGTAGAGTGAATCATTTGGACCTCCCTGTAAGTTTCGCATAAACCGCAGGGTTTGTCATGCCGTGTGAACTCTAGATTCTCGGTAGCTGGGGTACCGGTATGTCCTCAGGCTCTCGAGATTACTTCTGCTGGACTGGTAGTGGGCGAGATCCGTTACAGGAACACAGAGGTGAATACCAACAGAACCACTAGAACTGTGCGTGAGATAGCAATTTTCAAAAGATCGGTTACTGCAGTGGTCCATTAGCCTACAAGGATAAACGCGATGTGAATCTTGCAGACTAGCGGCATCGGTTCCAGGCAGGCCTCCCACACGGCGCCTTGAAATATTCCACACCTGGGTCACGATTCTTGCTTGAAGTAGCGAACCTGAGTAGCCTTTAGTCATCAACCGCGCATCTTCGACCGCAGAGGGTGAATCAAATGGCACGGGTGTCGGCAAACAGTGGAATCCAAACCTCAATCACTCGCCCGAAGGAATATTTATCATAGATTTGTCTTGCTCATTCCCAACAACAGCTTTTTAAAGAATTTTCTCCCCCGATACCTCTATTTCGAACCTAGGATGGGGTCAGCCACCGAGATAATTGCAGACTTGCATCCTTGATTTATCTCAATAGCTTCATACACCAATCTAACACGTATCCCTAAGTGTTCCAAGCTTGCCCGGGGTCTTATCATACGGGGTTCCAATGACAGTTCCGCTTCCCCTTCCCGTTTAACTATCATAACACTCTGGTCCAGAGGGCTCCATCTCTCCCGAAGACTGCGAGGGCGGAAGTTCCTCTAGGTGATGTGACGAGTGAGAAATCATGAGATTGTTCTATTTCTCCTACTATGCCAATATGTCCGAGGGATGCTCGTATTCAGAAGAACAGCCTATCGAGCGGTGCGGCGGAGGTTCAGCAGATGGTAAAGAAATGAAAAAAAGGAAAGAAAGAAAAACTTGCTGGGAACTTTATTGAAAACAATTGGGGATCGGATCCAGGGGCTTTCTAGAATGACACGGAAGTTTGCCAAGACGTGGTTCCTGTGAGAACGACTTCATCTCCTTCCGGTTAAGGCCTACCGGTATTCTGGGGCTGGGTGGGCATTCACGCTGTCACTCCGATGTACCCAGGGTCGATTACTATATCGAGTAAATATGTTTTTCGTGGAATCGGAATAGTGCCGGTTCGGAGGAATGGCGGTAATTCTATATAAATCCCTCCTACTGTAGTTGAATGTCCGACCTGGGACCACTTCTCGAGGTAGCCGCATGTGGGCTGTGCGGTTCGCCTAACTTTTCGAGTATGGCGGAGGGAGATCTTGGTGCAGCTGTGCTCACCGTTTAATCAACCAGGCCAATCCCTGGAGAGGTTACTCGAGAGTCACCCCGACGTGGCACTGTTGTAGTACCGGGACTAGTACAGCACAGTCCAGTGCGTCCCCACCTCTGACGTTCACGCCGGTTTTGGCTACCTGTAATGTCCAATGATGCTGCGGGGCATGGTACTTGTACTCGTACGAGTACAAGTACTGTATATACCCCTTGCCTTGTACGAGTACGTGATTGCTGTACTCTACTCAAGTACCTCCACACCAAACACTCCGAAATCTACTTATCCCTGCAGACCCTGCAATCTCCTCCAGATTCAGGGACAAAAGCTTCCGGGAAGGATCAGCGTTTTCCTGACACAATAAGATCAACCCACCGGACCTGTTGGATCTCATCGACCCGCTCCCACGCTTCTGTTAGCAACCGGCAACCAAACCTGTCCTGTGCTGACGCGTTAACACCCCCTGGTGATCTGGTACTGGTAGTGGGGACCCGATAGCGTTGCCCCTGATGGCCTGACCTTGCCAATCCTTATCAGAGCGTGATAAGCCTTCTTATGATACCAGGTACTCTGCCATGGCGCGGGTAACAATACCGGCACAGTACGGGACAACAGTAACGAGTCTATCATGTGCGCTATATAGACCAACCCAGATCGGCTGAAAACTACATGACTAGTCTCTTTCTCGATCGCCAGCCACTGTATCATGCTAGACACTGAGATTGCTCAGCAGCATCATTGACCTCACTGAAATCACAGGCACTAGGTGCGGGCGAGAAGTGCCCGAAGGCGGGGGGGTTCGCAGCATGTATGGCAAAGTGATCTTTGCCTATCGGCTGAGCCCCCCCATGCCAATTCAGGACCTCGGTTTCCTAGTACTGTACTGTACTTCTTGTCCGCTGTTTTCGTGGGTGCTGTATCGATGGTGGTACTCGTGGTAAATTTACTACTCGAGGAGGGCCTGAAATAAGGGCGTGGCTTTCGTTCTCATGCTTTGCCGGCCCCCGTCTTCAACGCCTTCATAATATACCGGTAGATATTTATTGACCAATAGTTGCCTAGGCGCTACGGTAGCCTGCGGCTTGCGGTATCCGAGTTAGGAAGTGAGTGCCGCTGTTTGTACGAGTGCTGTGCTAACTTGAACTGTAAGGTGGGTCCAAGACTACAGTATGCTGTGCTCACTGCTTATTTGGGGCCCTCCAGTCCAACACCTCTGGAACCCTATTCACCACCGTGGAGCACCGGTAGCATCGCCAGTGCAGCTTTCCAGGCTCAGGCACAGCTTCAGGTTATCTTCGGTCGAATCGGTGTAATCTAATCTAATCAAGATGGCGCTTGACAAGGCTGGTCAAGTTAGATGAGAGCATTTATTCCAAAGTGCTTCGTCACCCTCCGAGTAGCCATTTGGATTGTCTACCTTCTGCTCTTCCTGTTCGTGAGGGGTCGGTTCCTAATACTGACTTAACCTTACTCGTAAGATGCATAATACAAAAATGGGCAAGGTCCAGCTCTGATTGAGAAATGTACCCATCTTGCCGAGGATGCTGTTCCCAGTCCCTATTTCTGCTGACTGGTCAAGCGCGAATGGTGAATTGGGGATTGAGGAACTGCAAGTCGTTGGTGGGCCCGAATCTCGAGATTGTTGCGATATCGGTGTGTATGGATGAATAAATGTATGTTGCTAATATTTATCCCCAAAACCTACTACAGATTTCAAAGCAAAAAAAACCAAATCTCACAGATCCTGATCGCGGGAAAGATGAGACCTCAATTCCATCTCCCCTTTACGGTAAAGCGCAACGTGGAACTCGACATGGCAAACCGACAGGAAACTTCTTAGGCGCCAGTCCGGGTCTCACGAATTCTCGGCCTCCGCCCGCTTCCACGCCGACGATGCCATACCCGACAAAGGAAAATTTGGCAGTGACCCCGACATCCGCGGCGGGCACAAGCACCTACCCATCCTGCTGCAGTCGTGGAGACACGGCGGGTAACTTGATGGACGCAGAGGCCCGATAGATCAACGTTGCCAACGTCACCGGGAATTCTTACCCCCGGGATCCCGCTTGACAGCGACGAGTAGCCGCTGCATGATCGGGAGAGGCCCGCAGAGATTAAATGCGGGTGGTGGTGATACACACTTCCGTACAGCTATACGACCAATCGATGAATATACTCGTACGCTGCCGGTGCTATGGCATCATATGGATGTCACTCCAGTCGGGTGTGGGCTTTTACACCCATGGTTGAAAAAAATCAAAAAAAGAAAGGAAGACACAAACAAACAGCAAACCCGAAAAACACGGATCCATCACGAACCCATGGCCCACCGGCCGGTAATGCCCATGGATAAACTATCATATCTAAGACTTGGGGGTGCAGACCTCCGTTTCCACAGAAAACCCTAGGGTTCCGTACCATCCGGTGGATCGGAAGAACCATCCATACCCCCCCGCCTCCATCATCCAGTAACAATAACTCCCATGGCCGTGATACCTGCACGATCTGGGCCAAGATACGCCCACCATTAATTTATTACCCCGTTGATCGCGGGGTATCATACAACACCCGGAGCATGATACTATCCTTCAGATATCGGTATCATATCATCCTGGCTTTTTTCCGCTGCCTACCGGTACCATAGCTAGGGACACTTCCTATCCATCCCGTTTTAACATTTCAGTTTTCGATCTAGCTCCGCGGTAATAACGGTTTGGAACGAGCCCAGGAGCATTGCGAAAGCGGTGCACCGCGTGTATGATACTATACCGCCAGTAGTATCATACTCGAGTACATACATACATACATACAGGATTCACAAAGCTAGAGGAAACTTTTATCGTACCGCATCTTCGTTTTTCTCCCTCCTTTCGTACCGCTTCGGCAATGCGGCTGTCGGACTACACCATAACTGTAATAAGTTGTCGTATCGTAATTCATAGAAATAGGGCGCACACTGCACTGTACCATAACTATCATATATCCCCACCACTTTATCTGGACACCTCGTCCAAGTTCCATATTGACGCAATTGTTTGCACAGCCCGGCATACCGTACCGTGCGGCGCCAGAGTGGAAGAGAAAGGAAAGGGAAAGGAAAATATAAAAAAGATGGATGCCTCTCCGGAGATTTTATGTGAGATTCTTGTAAGGATATGGTAGTTCCTCTCCCTCCCGATTCGTACCTAAGTTAGCCCGCTATACACATATACATAAACCTCCAAAATCCCTCCTCCGTTTCTCCATATAATTAGTATGATAAGTTTCTATCATATCCCGATAGGCGCGTACCCCCACCCCCTTTCCTTCCTTACTTCTCAGCACTGGACAAAAACATACGGTATCGTACTGTAATGTGAGCTGAAGGAACCTTACCCTACCCTACCGCCAGTAATATACAGCACCGTATCACACCATATCATAGTCTATCACACCAGCCAAACGCCGAATGGGCACAACGTAAGTCACGATTGATCACTCGCACCGATAGCTCTACTTCCTGTCGGAAATAGTTGCTTCTCAAGACTCTTGTAGTCCTCAGCGGAGGATATGTTAAGCGAGAGCTGAGATAGTATCTACGCTAGGAAGCCTAGATGGGAAAATGATCTTGGTATTGGACAGATCATCCACAGTGACTGCTAAGGTTAGATAGTATATAAGTCCTGTATTCTATAGAAATTGAAGAGCGGTTCGGTTCCTCAAGTTTCCCGGTACCTGCCAAAGGATTTACAACAGGTTATGAGCCCGGCCTTAGTGTTCTGATTACCTCGTCTCTCATCTTTCAATCTATTGCTTTCCTCTCAAGAGCCTCTATCTCTACCCATATCATTCTACTACTAGTTGGGCAATATTCGTAATGCCAAACATGTTACTTCAACCGCAGAATAACGGAATCTCATCGGAGAATGTCTACCGTTGCAAGTATGGTCAAATGCATGTTCTGACCCCGACCAACTATCATCGCTGGTCACAAGACCTTCAAGCCTTCCTAGAAGTTGAACGCGCATTCAAAATAGTGATGCAAGAGGAAGCTGAACCAGCAGCAAATCTGGCTGCTCGCCACACTCTATGGGAAGAACGTTGTGTTAAGGCTAAAGTTATGATCTTCACCTCATGTGGACCTACAACACGACAGCAAGTTGATCTATCGATGGAACCTTGGGATATGTGGCAAAAGTTAAAAGCAAAATACGATTCTGCAGCTTCGCGAGCAGGTCGCTTTGCCTTACGAGGACGATTTAATCGTCTAACACCTTCACAGTTTGGTTCAATCACTACCTTC